AGACTGAGAACATATTTATGGATGAAACACAAGTATTCGAACAAGCGTGTTCGCTAAGGCTGTCTGGTACGTAAAAAATAGCGGGAAATTTCATGTTATTTTACCGATCTGGGCGGACATACGTGGTCAATCTTGCAAAAGGATTCGGAGGTCCCAATCAAAAACTTACTGAACATTAAACGGTTATAAATGGACTGTGCCAAAACCAATTTGATTTAAAATTTTATCTTCGCAGTTTTGAGAAAATGTAATTTGAAAATGGCTTAAAATTGGCGAATCTGCTAAAGTCACACGAGACGGAAATCTGCATGCTCGCCAAAGACATAAAAATAACCCAGGATCATTCATCACATGAATGCAATTGGATCGAATGTCAAATAATCTAAATAAATCAAAAATGCACAGAAAACTTGCAAGAGGTAGGAGAAATCATTAACTTGCACAAGTTACCCCAAATTGACTCGGTAATCTTATGCAAATTAGCCAAAAACAAGGGGGATGGTCAAAGTCACAAGAAAAAAAGCCAATCAGATTAGAAAGGGAATATTTTTTTAATCATATCACAAAGGTTAACTGTGGTAGGAATTTGAAAGGAATCGGCCGACCTCGACCCGTGGCCCCTCCCGGTTTTCTCTGACAATGACACTTAACTTACTAATTGAAATACCTCGAACTTCTTTTGTTTATTTTTGTTTATTTTTAATCCTTAAATTTGTAGTTATAGTGAAGTCTAACAAGGACTAAGAAAATATCATTAAATTTATTCATTTTTGATTATCAATGCGTAGTCAGCGTCTTTTTTTTGCAATGAAGTTCAATCAACTCTAAACTATGCGTGGTTGCGAACCCAGTTTCTTTTAGGATTCCAATGGCCCTTGTTCGGATACTTTTCTAACATAGCAGTGAATCGCTGAGACAAAAATTTTTTTAGAAGGAACCGTCTTGAAACAAGATCAATTCTGTGGCGTACAGGTTCCTGTTAAAGGCACACTATCTAGTAACAATTCTCTTCGCCGATGCTATTTGTTTAGATGCTATTATTTTATCCATTAGACTAAGATTACTTATAGTGTTACTAATATTTCTTTATTAAATTTTTTCTGACGGCTATTTCTGGTTGCTTTGTATTAGCTCCCTTATCTTTATGAATCGACTCTCTAATATCACTAAGATCCTGGGTGTGTAGTGCAGAAACTTCCTTAATTTCTGTCAGACGTTTAAAAGCGACTTCAAAACCCTCGTTTGAAATAACACCGAGTTGATCTGTTGTTTCTCTTAATTTATCAAGTGCATCATCGATGGTCTTTCACTCTTGCTCGAAACTTTTCTCGTCCAGTTCACGCAAGTATGCTAAATTTCTGCGCTGTAAAACTGGACTATGAAGTTGCTTAAATCTCATTCGCCAATCCGGTGCTATTGAATTTTCTGTCATTGTAAATTAGCGATTGATGTCCCGTCTCAGCCTCTTTGACTCCTGACCTGATTTGTCTATCTCTCTATGGATTTCCAGGATCTCCTTATCTAAAGTTGAAAGTTTTTCATTAACAGTTCTTTGTAGCGCGTTCAAGTCTTTCAGGGACAGCTTGATTGCTTCCAGACCAATTTGAAGTCCTTCGAGTTCCTTGCATGAGACTTGACGGTCATCAAAAGGGTAAAATGTCCTTTCCCTCGAGTGCAGCTAAAATACAAAACCAGATCTATGAACCAAAAGTAAGTTAAGAGCATGTCCACCCTCGTAAGCCCTTAATTCTCAGAATTTCAAATTTAGAATTTCTACTACCAAGTTCATCTTGGGCTTGAAATAGCCATACGTTAACCATACCGAGAATCGAACCTCTTAACACAGTTGAAAGTATTAAAGTACACTATAACCGTTAAAAAAGGTCTGTGATTCTTCCAGCATTTCTGTTTTGTAATAATGTTCCTTTTCGGAAGAATATCCGGCCGAGGAAGATAGACAGATTTGCTTATAACTTATAACTATTATAATATTGATAGTCACTCTATTAAAATGAGAGATTATATGAACAGGCGGGTTACCCTTGGGGCCTGATGTTTACATGAAGGTGGGGGACTCCAGGTAGATGATGCAACCCGTTTAGGTGATTCCTTTAGGTCCAAACCCTGTTTTTATGACAAGAATGAAAACCAAAACTCCTTTTAAAATTTCATAGAAATTAGGCCCAGGTTTGCAAATTGACAAGGAGAAAATTTGTATAGTTTTTCTGATTTTTAACTGAAGGATTGAAAGAAGTTCGAGGTATGAAAAAGGACAAGATGTACCTTCCGTGAAGGTTTTAATCAGCAAATCGGAGAGTAAACATGTCTTTTTAAATATAATTGAACGTCCCAGTATTAACTCTAAGAAGTTGGTTCGAATGAACTCTTCGTGCTCATAGAATCTTTTTTGAACATTTTTCCTTAGCTTATCCTGATTGTCACCGTGTCGCTGGGAATTTTTAACAGTCTCCTGGAGAGCAGTTACTACTTCTTTCAATTGTTTATCCATAGTTTTATCAAGATCGTCTATCTTCTTCCTTATTTCTTTAATTACTTCAACTTTTGTTAACTTTATTTTGTTCCCTATGCACAAGTACAGATTTGATAAAGCCTCACACATAACTCTATCCTCCATCAGTAAACAGTAAGGGCGTTGATCTTTCGCTGGACATTTTCCCTTCTTCCTTTTCATTTCATAAATAATTCCATCTTGAAGGTTTTGAATGCTGGTGACAATTTCATTCGCGAGTCCACTGAATCTTGTATCACCTTTGCGGACTTTATGATCCACCTCGCTAACAGCATTCTTTATTCCCCCAACGGACGAATTTAACTTGTTTGTCATGTTTTCTAAGGTCTCCAGTATCAAATCAAGCTCTTCTTTCTGGATCTGATCTTTATCTCGAATTTCATTGATCTTGGGTTCTTTTTTTTACATCTTGACATGAAGACATCGAAAGATAAATCATAGTCATTGGCTAATTTTCTAATTTATGCGTAAGGGTGGGGAAGTGATGGGGAAATCTGCCCTAACAAGGCAAAATGTAGAGAGCGATAAGTTTACCCTCGTGTATACGGTTGTTGATAAGCCAATCAAAGTTTATTTGTTTGTTTGGTTAAAAAAGAAAAAATAAAACAAGACAAAAACGCCTGTCCCCTCAAATTTATTTTAGTGTCCGTTAATATTCCTGTGTTTACACTCAGCAGTGCATTTTTCTCTGTTAACCGTTGCTGCGAAATGTCCTCATATCGTATGATCACTCGTGTCTTCTACTCATCCCTTTTTTTCCGGGCCTCATTCTATTTAATATCTTTTTTTGATAAAATATTCCATTTTTCAAATATAGATGGAAACAAGACTGAAATTGACCTTGTTTTGATGCAAGCCTTCCTGTTTTCTTCTGTAGATTATGTTGTTCGTATTTTCAATGGAAAAAAATGGCGCCAAAGAAAAGCACCGCTGTGACTTTTGATTGGACGAGTTACCTTCTTACACTTGATTCGGACGAATTATTTTTTCCTTATGTGAAAACATCGTTCGTTCCTCGAATTGGCTAGAGCTCATTTGCGTTTTAACACTGAATTCACCAGGACATTGAGTAATTTTGATTTTCAGTGGACAAAAATCTTGTACCAGAAAAATTAAAAGTATATGGCATTTTTTCTTACATTTTTCAAGGCCTAAAGATGTAATAGATCGTCTGTAGTAAAACCGAAAAAAACATTTCTTATGGGAGCCCGAGAAAATGAACGTCAAATTTTCACTAAATTACATCTTACACATGAAATTTTTAGAATTTTGCCTGTATAATCACAATTCTTGTGAAATTTGACATTCATTTTCTCGGACTTCCAGGAGAATTTTTTTTTCAGTGTCACTACAGATGGTTTATTACGTCTTTAGCCCTTGAAAAATGTAAAAAGGAAGGCAATATTCTTCAAATTATCATGGTACAGGATTTTTGTCCAGTAAAAATTAAAATTACTCAATTTCGTGGTGGATTCCGTTTTAACTTGTAAACGCCCTCCGATGATTCCCATAACTCTTCATATACAAAAGGAGAATCCAATAATTGTTCTGTTGTTCATTCAAAACTTGCCAAAATTGTTTGGAGATTTTCTTCAATTCTTTCACCAGGTCCTTGACAGTTTCAAGATATTATGAACGGATGCCTTTTTTGTACTGAGGTATAAAAAGCTCTTCGAGTGTAAGGTTTTATTTCTTGTTTATTTCTTGTAATATCGTGGGTGACAAATTATCGTGGGTGACAAATTACTCCTGAATCTTGTCACGAAATTTCACATGAGAAATTACAAAATTGTCATAGCAACGTTTCGTACATCTCAGGGCCAAGATGGCGTCAAAAATATTATGAATAAAGATATTAGGACATTAAAAGACGCTTGAGAAAACATAAACACACGAAAGAGCACATCAAGAAGGATTTTATCTGGTAACCCGTTCTGAAAGATAACAACATAAGCCAAACTGTAGGCTCTAAAGTTTGCTGTGTATGGGTTTCGACCGATACGAAACATGTCAAAAAACCAACGACTGTGAGCGTAATTTGTCACACATTATATTAATAGGTAATAAAATGGTATACTCTTTTTGTGGAAATCCTAATAATTTCCTGACCATTTGATTACTCATACTTATTCTTTTAGGCAGTAATTCGGCTATTTCGTGTTCACATGGACTGCAAAATTGTCCGCCATTGTTTCCACTTCTACAAAGTTAAATCAGCTGAGCATCAACCGTTCAGCACGTTTGACGATTACCGTCAACCGTCGAATGATAAAAAAGCACTATTTAGTTTATTATAAAATATTAGCTTTGGATTAAAGGCAATCAGCAATGGAGAAATATTTTAAATGAATTTTAGTAATAACAGTCTAATAATAATTTTAAAATAGTTGCCATTACTATTATTATTATCATTAATAATAAAAATCGATGTAACTATGTAATATATAACTGCTACTTCTTTAATACCAAAACGTGTGCTTACCTTGGCCAGGACTCTTATTCCCGTTTGTCCCATGCCAACATAGGGATACAGAGATTCCTCATTCTGAGTGTAATCCATGAATATCTTATTCTGAGTGATCTGCCTTCCGTTTAATGAAAACACGATTGGAACTTTCCCATCTCTTGCCAATTCAAAGTTGACTGTGCAGCTAATCAAGTCCCCTCTGTAGGCCATGGCATCTAAAAGTATATTTTAACAGCTGATTGTAGAATCAGGTGCATGTTTAGTATGGTTTACTAAGATTCTGGCCAATAAGAAGCCGTTCTTCAACACCTGAAATATCGAGAGTTTTGTGTTGCCTGCCAGCTACTGGCGCCTCCCTCGCTGTACCTTGCGCACTGCAGTTCGAGGTAATAAGGAATCTTATGAAGAAATGTCAGCAACGGCAAAAGTAAAGTCAAAGCAATACGTTCAATAAGCAAATAAAATGTTCTACTTTCACTTTATATGGAGGACGTAAAAACAAAACGAAGAGTTTCTCTTTCTTTTTTTCAACGTTGGAAAAAGTCCTTAAGATTTCAACTACTGGGAAATTCGGCTAAACTCGACAAATCACTGGAGAAGGCCGGAATAATAAGGAAGCAGTTTACATACATACACATACATAACCTTTATTAAAGTGTCTTGTCGTTCTAGTGCCTATTGGCACTAATTGGGGACACCTTTAAAACTAAATTACATCATTAATAGAAACTAATTAAGTACTATAAAGGCCGGAAATTGACACTATTCAAGCTAAGTGCTCTTTTACACTCTAAAAACTAAGTTCTAGATTTAACACTTCGAAGCTAAGTTCGAAAATTTACAATATAAAAACTAAATGCGTATATTAGCTCGGACACTAAAATGAATAAGTAAATATGCGTACGTCCTCTTAATCTAAGCATAAGCGGCATTCACTCCCACATCCCTCAAGAAATGATGTTACATCCTTCTTACGTATCATTGTCCTAAACGTTGCCAAAGTTGCAATATTTCTCTCCTCCTTGCTTAGTTTAGACCACAATTGTGGTCCGAGAAATCTGAGAGAATGTCTCCCATAAGTAACAGTTTTAAACCGAGGTAAGACAAAATCTGCATTTCTTAGGTTATATCTCTTACTATCAATATTCTCCTGGTTGATATTAAAAATATCCGCAATTTGGTTCACTGTTTGACTTCAAAGTATACATACATACATACAAACAGACAGACAGCAGACATACATGAGCCTAAATATCTTAACACGAGTTTTAGAGTAGACAGCAAACGTAACATCGCTGTGTACTGAACATAATTAAAAAAATAATAAAGGAAAGAAAAGAAGCCTGTCTACGTATATCAAATGTATAACCTATATGCTACATTGTTCATAGAAGCTTTTAATAGGCTAAATGTTTCTATAAAAGAAAATGTTTTGAAAAGAAATAGTATTAATGACTCCTAGCAAACTTCTACTAATTTAATTGGTGTATCGTCATAAACAAAAATAATGTGACAAGATAGCACGATTTAGTTTCTCACCGTCACACGCTATTCCCCAAGTAGGATTTTCTGCGTCAAGTATTCTTCCATCGTCAATGAGATATCCCACGGATCCATTTTCCCTCCCCGGAAAGGAGTGATTTCCATAATCTTTTCCAACAATACCCACTCCTAGCAGACGCTGTTCCCCTGTTTCTTGAATAAGAACCTAACCAAGAAGATCGATGAGATTTGTTTGCTGTTTATTCATCATGTTTACGTAGTCAAATGTTTCTGTACGGGGGGTGTTATTGGCCTACAAGAAAACCGCCAGTTTCGGGGACGAGGGGCTGCCCATCCAGCATTGTTGGACCTACAAGGGGCAGACTCCCGAAGGGATACCTCTTGGGGTCATTAAGACATGAAAGTTTAACCACCACCACAGGAGGGTGGCAAGCCCAAGCTAAAGGTAAAGTAATGAGATTGCGCAAACGTAATTCATTTAATCGATAAATGTTAAGTATAGCTCTTTCAATGCTCGAACGTAAGTACAAAAAAAAGAAATAAAACAATGCTTAAAATGCTTAAACTAAATAATGAAAGAATGAAACTTGCTGCCTTCATAAAATTATTTGTATTGCCTGAGGATTCTAAAAATTGCTAAATTGATTAGTTCAGTTTGAAATTTTACTTGTTAAGTCGGCGAAGGATTTTGAAAACTATCTAAGTTTTCAGTGAAGAAAACAAAAATCTTTTTCTCAGATTGAAACAAAACTTATTCCAGGTTAAGCTACAATATATATATATATGTCAGTCAACTGCAATACATCAGTAAATCTACATACGCACCTCAAAATGTGGACAATCTGGAGAGAACGGGAATATGTATCTCGCGCCGTGATACTTTTTTGGATCATCTTTACAGGTGGAGCAAAACTCGCTCCCTTCACAAATTAGAAGACATCCCTGTATTCTGATTCCTTGACTTTGCCAGGCCTGATTTTGTTATTGCGTTAGGTCCAAAAAATGAAAAACAATAAACAAAACAAGTATGCTCATGCACTTCGGGTTATATGTATCAATATGGCTGCAGTGCAAGTGGTCTTGGTACCAGTGTGCAAACCAATGGGAAATGTGAAATAGACGTAACTTAAAAGTAAGCCCAAAAAATGACTGAAAAGCATTTTAATTTGAAAAAAATGTCTGGTTCCATTACAAGAGTAGTATACAATATGGGCTCACCAGGACAGTTTTTCATATTGACCACTACATGCACTTTTTTACGCACTTTTTTCTATTGGTTACTATATGTTTAATTATTTCTCTTTTGAAAGTGTTTAAGATTGGTTCTAAATAAAAGTACTTACCACATTTATAATCAGCTTTTGCTATGATTTGTTCTGGTTCAATAATGATAGAACCTTTGTATCCTTCACAAGAATTTTTTATGATGCCAGACAGTAGTGACAACCCACGGCATGAAATTCTTGGTTCTTTCAGCTGGTTTAATTGCTATAATGCTGATTTTAGAGCGGTTTTCTTGTGCTTTTGTACGACTTTTGACTTTATGTTTGAGACAAGGCCCATTTCATTGGTCAACTTTTGTTTACTAAGGCTCACTCTAACATTTGGAGGAATATACATAGTTATTAAAACTAGTGCCTCCAGAAAGAGACTGCTGTTGGGATAAAAGACGGATATAATCTTCCATATATATATTTTGTATATGATTACGGAATGTAAAAAGGGTCTCTCTAAGGTGAACTAAGACTAGCTTTTTGGTTGGTGGCACTATTAATTTTTCAATTCAATGGATTATTTTATAATGTATTTTTGGTGTTTCCTTCAAAAGGAATTCTCTATTACAAAATTTGCATGGCACTCTTACTCCCTCCATATAATCATGTATAGTTTTGGTTATAAGATCATAATCAATTACTCAGGAGAAAATAGTAGCCATTTTTCTTGTACCAGTGCTTCATCTCTTTTTGGGCTTGGCTCACTTGGTAATTATTAGTTGGAGATTTAAACTCAATACAGTGCCCACTATAGTCCTTATGATAGTTCATAATCATGAGATCAGGTTGTCGTTTGGCGTAACCCTTTTTCCAGCTGGATATTCGCTTTGAACAAGTATCTCTGGTAAAATATCGCAGCTATAAATACCTCTGAAATATTTTATTCCAAGTGGTTTGACCCAGTGTAACAAACCGATATTTGACAATGGTTTGTTGATGAATTTTATAGTATTGTTCCTTGCGGCAATAAGGTGAAAGCATATTTTTGGTGACTCTCATTTTCTCCGCTGCCAGGGGATAATCATTTTGCAGATCTTGGAGCTCATGTGAATACTCCAAATCTACTTCCAGTATTAGACCCTTTCCTGCCTCAGGATTTAAACTATGAATATCCAATTCATTTATCTGATTTGGGGTAAACCATTTGAAACCACCTGTGGGAAGACATTGGGACATCGCCCATCCGTACATATTATTTGCATCCAGATACATAATATATTTATTGGGCGTCTTTGAATTGTGTCCCTTTATGTAAGGATTATTTGCTTCCAAATGCCTGTTTATATAATAGCAATATAAGAAATTCCACCCCTCATACCCTTTTCAATAAACTGGTATTGGTCCACATCTAACATAAGCTCAAGTTTGATGCCTGTCATCTTAAGCAACAACAACAACATAAGCTTTATTTGCATGACTATAATTTTGTAGTTACAGTATTGCAAAAGTTTTAACATAAAGTTACAATTTATAACAATGATAATGCAATGCAATGATTACTACAGTCACTCAAGTGTCATCAGCATGATTTGATAACAAATTAGTTCGTAAATCATTACATAATGAGACATATTTCAACAAATGTGAATTTACGGAGAAATTCCATGAATTCATCAATTTAACTAAGCATTGCACTCCAGCTAAGGCCGGAGATGTAAAATAATACGCGGGATCTAATTTATAGTACTGAAGGTAAGTGCTTCTGAAGTTTTCAAAAACATCAGCCAACAGCAATACGTCAGACTTGAGATACAAATCATGGTACTCCCCCATTGACTTCATCTTAAAAGTATCCCAAACTTGCTGAGCATGCTCGTACTGCTCATTTGTAATGCCTTCTTGGGTCAATATACCAAAGAACTCATCTTTTGTGGGCAACTGTTTGTAATCAAACTTTTGAAAACTATCCATAAAGTCATAAGGATAAACACCCTTCTTTTCCATCAATGCTAATTGCTCTTTTTTAAATACCGCCGACGTGTACTCATATTTATCCTCAGGAAGATTTGCTGCAAGTCTATCAAGACCAGAGGACATAAATTGAAAGCTGTCTAGAAACGCTAAGCTATTACCCTGCTTACAAGCCATATAGCGCTCCATATTATTGGGGATGCAGTTTATACCTAAATTCTTCTCCTTACCAATCTTCCCAATCTCCTGCATTATAAAATGGGCATCATAGCCATGCACGGAGATTATGAAACATCACTGGTATTTTAATTTCACATTGGTGGGATTAAGCTTTAGTTTCCCCTGTATTTACCTGTGACATGGCAGTGATCTCTTACTCTCACATATTTTTCCTTATATTGCTCTCGACAGATATGGCGTCTGGTACTTGCTTTAAACATCTCTTCATCATCACTCATTACAAGTGGTTTTCTGAAGTATTTTCTTATTGTAGCCTTACAGTAGTCTACTTCCTTTAGCATCTCATGCATGAATTTATTCACAGGTTCTTCTCCTCTGTAAATCTTCACTGGTTTACTATATTGGTCATCATAACAGCATACTAATTTGTGACCATAACTGCATGCTGTATGCTGTTGATATTTATCTGTAAATGAGTTTTCTGCACTTGGTTGGCGGCCAGATACTTTTTCCGTGATGGCTTTAAAATCAGCATAAACAAAAAATAGTACCAGCATCTGCCCGTGGTGATCTTGAAACTGGACCTTACTTCCCTTCTTAGGCATCTGAATACCTTGCTTTCCGTTGATTCTGAAGCAGTTTTCCTTATGTTTAGCCAACACTTCTTTGGTACTAAATGCTTGCAAACAATGCATGCAAAACTCTTTGGTTCCATGGTGTTTTGTATGATTACGCATCAAACTATTGAAACTCTTGATAAGAACATAAAGATGTTTTTCCTCATCTGATGTCAATAAAGGATTCAATTCATGGCCACCAGCACTTATATAGATTGGAAAACATTGTTTGTTTTCATTCCCAAAAACATTAATATCTACCTTGTTTTGGGCCTCAATTCGGCTGTAATGTTTGGTGCTAACTGGAAATTCCACACCTGTGTAATCATAATTATCAACCAATAATCTGTCTGAATTTTTTATCCTTTCGGGGAGAATTTCTTGTGGATTGAAACGCCGGATATGGCACCAGAGAAAACACTGGTTATCCTTATTTTTAATATTACTAAGGCCATACTTTGGATTTTTAGGCTCTGATGATGAATTAATATAACTACTTCCTTCCAGTGGATTGTACTTTGCCATATTAACATAATGGTGCCTTACTTAGTTTACGACCCATCCACTTGCCTCAGACATCCAGCAGTTTGTAATCTTTTTAAGGACTTCTTGTTGTGATAATTCAAGGCGTTCCTGTACGCTATGTGTATTTATGACAATATGTTGCATACTATCACTGTATCCTTTCTCATATTTATGTGGTTTGGGGCCCTCAATTCGTTTATAAAATTCAACCTCCAATGCTTCCAATATTTAAACCCCCTCATTTCCACTTTTAAGCGCTTAAGAAATCTACCAATCTCTTCCCTTGTTTCTTGCAACTGAGTAAGGGATCTCTGTCATTCACTATATTTATTTTAAAAGCCCTTTCATAACCTTTTGTTTGTGGGGCTAGTGGTATAGGGTTTTGCTTAAGATAATCTACCATACGTTTGACTGTACTTTTAGGCTTTTTCATCTGCCTCTTAAAATTGACCAATGTTCGGAGATCTTCAATAGTATTCTCAGATAATAACTCACGAAGAAGCTTATTCTTCTCTCCCATATTATTACTATCTATTATATTATTTTCATTTGAACGCATCATCGGCATACTAGTACAAGGCGCCAACTCGACAAACCGCCCAAAACCGGTTCAACCGGTTCAAATTCCAGGAAAATTCCAAGGTCACGCTAACATTCCGAGAAAAAGTCAAATGAGGAAAAGTAGCAATATGGGCCAAATAATAAGAAGTGCATATATTGGTCAATATGAAAAACTGTCCTGGTGAGCCCATATTGTACAAGACTCACAAGATAATTTACAAAATCTCGTCCAAGATGAACGCATACCTTTGGACCAGTAGTAAAGACGCCATCGTTAACTCCATTCGCTGCAAAAGTCCTGTAAGCTATCTGATTTCCCACTATGTGATTTGCCAGTTGACGGTTTCTCTGAGTTTCCTGAAGAACGTAGTCCATTTTTCTTTCATCTGCCAAAATATTATAGAAATTTAGCGCTTTTTATTAACTATTCCAGGAGCAGTTAAAAAAGTCTCCTTACTGAGCTTTAGTTGGAAAATGGTGTTAATATTGTGCACACTGAAACATTAGTGAACTTACGCAAGAGGACCGGAGAGGAAGGCAGACAGCAAATCTTGTGTCACAAGCGTGACAATAATTTTGTTTGAAATAACTTTTCGCCAAACTTTGAGCCACTTTCCTTTAAACAGATCTTTTTGTAAAGGACCAGAAAACATTGGTGTTAAGTCAGTGAAGATCACTAGAAACACGCAAGTAAGGCCTGGTTCAAACGTCGCGCTACGGCCGTGCTAAGCTGGATCGACTGTAGCCGACTGCAGCACGACACTAGCACGACTTGCTCTCAAATGCCGAATTTAATTCAGTGGAATAGAACGGCTGTTCCCGAAAACAAACCTCAAAAATATAGAAATGGTTTAACAAACTTTTACATGTATTCTAAGGTATTTATAACTTATGACTTATTCGACAAAGCTTGCAGTGCTACACGGCAATAGCACGACTTGTTTTCAAACGTCGCGTTACTGCTGTGCTTAAGTCCAATTTAATTCGATCAACTGAGTTCGGCACGGCAGTAGCACGACGTTTAAAACGGGCCTAATAGCCCTGTCACGTGTGTCACAGTGTTTTGCCATCCTCTTCTTCCTGCTGTCCTGTTGCGTAAACTCACTATTATCTTTACCTGTCAGAGGAAATGAGTAGCCATGACATGAAAAGTAAGTAAATTGGAGATTTTCTACAACATCATCCAAAGACTTTTTCTGTCAAGAGAGATTGGAAAATATTCAATCAGCGTTGATAGGAAGTTCCACCATAAATAACCCAGTAGACATTACAGTACTTAAATGATCCTGATTAAAATCCGCTGCTAAGTCCAGCTGTGTACAACAACGTATTTGCTGCTCAATGATAATCTGATAATACACAAGACAAAATAACTTTACGTCTACTCACGTAACTCCTTTTACTCAAGGGTTTTTCTCTCGGTTGCCTTTTGCAGCGCCTGCACAGGCAGCACAGCCATTTTAGCCACAGAAATAAATGTGATATCAAGTTAAAAGGTACTGGTATTGGATGGTATGTGCTGTATGTCTCGATCGTTATGGCTTTCTTGAACGACCATTCTTTCAGGGAGTTTTCCTGAAGAAAAACGAAAAACAAACATTTTAAGAAGCTGCACCGTGTGGCACATTACGGTTACGGATTGCGAGTTTTGTTTGTTTTCAAGCTTCAGAAGAATGTTCTCGTCAGAAAAGCATGCTGCAAAAATTTAATCCCCAGATTTAACTTAACTGTTGAAAGTCAATAATAACTTGGAAGTAGACAGTTGTCCGTTTGTGGGATAGAAAGCGACTCTAAGACTGAAGGGGGCAAAAGCCACCATTAGACCGGAATCAGAGCAATCGACTACCAACAAGAACAAGACATAATTACATAATCACTTAAATCAATTCCTAGAGGACATAAAAAAACAGACAAGACCGATCGCAAAAAATATTTCCCAGATGGTAGATGCCCATCCACAGAAATTAACTCCCGCACAACTTAGAATACAGCAAGTTTTGAAGCCTTAAACTGTCTCTGTTAGTTTAATGTCTTCAAAAAAGATAGTAGCAGAGATCATTTTGAGCTCTCCCAGATATTCGTTTTCGCCTCAAGGAGTTGTTGAAGCTATCAATTCTGCAATTCTTTCAAATGCATTTTTCTCGACGTAACCAACTGGAAAACTTTGTTTTTACTCTAAAAGAAAAATCCTACAGAGCTATCAAATGAATATACCGACGTCCAACTCAGAACGTGTTTTCAGTGCCCTCTAAATGTGTTAACGGTTTATTTTGAGCGGATAAACGGGTTTCTAGTCAGGGTTAGAAAAATTGGAGAAGGATTTTGTTAAAAAAAAAACCGTTAACTCTGTTTCAATAAAAGTCCATAATGATGTGTTTAAACAAATTTTTTAAAAAAATTCCTACAGAGTACAGCTATGGCTCCGATGTTACCTCAACTCGCTGATATGTGTTAGACAGTAGGGCTATCATCATATTAACTAGAAGAATTACTCCCATGATAAGAAAGGCTCCAAAAAGAAAGTTGGCGAGAGTTACTGATGCGCTGTCCACTGAGTCCAGAGTATCCAACTCCGCTATACCCAACAGAGACCAAGTTAGATGCTGCATCATACTCCACCAACTGGATTGACAGAAATAAAAGAGGAATAAATGAGTTGGCATTTTTTTAATAAATTGAAAAGGCCAGTTTGGAATTATTAAAATTTAACACTGATTCCAAGGCTGAGGGGAATAAAGCAAAAGAAATTGCTCTAAGATACATAGATAAATAGTTCATTTCTTTTCCTTTCCCCTTAGCCTCGGAGTCAATTATAGGTTTTGTTATTGTTCATTCAAAAGATTTGGCAACTTTTCATTGGCTGCAATCCCCCAGCTAATTCTTTATAACCAACTAGTTCTTATCGATTCTATGGTATATTTTATTGGAAACGAGGCTTCTTGGGCAATAGTTGAGTAAAAAAATAGAGTTCACTGTTATGCGAAGAGGAAATAGCTGAATTTCTGACTAAAATAAGGAACAAATTCAAAAATACTTTCAAAATTTTGAGGAGTATCTGCATGATAATACATATATTCTGAAACCGAGCCAAGAAGTAGGCCAAAGTTTTGAAGAAAGTCTACGAGAAGCTAAGCAGAAATAATTTGAATGAATTATAAAGAAATTATTGTCCAGACAATAGAAATAAATACTTTATGCTGTCCCTCGGTTAATATTTAAACCAACCTTTTATATGTTGGCTGGGGCATTTCAGTGGGGGTGCATCATATTGAACATTTGGGGAACCCTCTAAGTGATCCATCGATCCCTCGTGGTTTTCGACGGACTTGACATAACCGGCAGAAGCAAGTCCTGACTTTTCCCTCTCTCTCCCACCCTCGTCCTAGCCGTATGTGCCTTTGAATATAGATGCGGATTTTTTCCCTCACCTTTGCTGGGTAGGACCCCTATCTCTTTTCAGTGGTCTATAGTTGATGCTGAATTGACATGATTATTAAAGAAATTTGAGTTTGTTGTTTCAGTGTCAAACAACATTCCCATCAAACAGAGCAAGCCCCCCAACAATAGTGTTTCTTGTTGTGGTATAATTTTAGGAGAGGAACAGGATAAAGCAGTTATTGAATTCGGAGGAAGTTATGTTATCCACCCCGGCCTTCAGCCTGGGTGGATAACATCCTCCTCGATCTGCATAATTCTTCACATCCTACTCTGCTTCATTCAATAATTGGTACATATATCGAAACTGGCCTAATGACATAAATAGTTAACTCTTTTAGAAACTCAAAGGGGCTATGTCATGCTACTTTGATAGCTTTTTAAAGCTAAAATGTCTCTTCGCATCAACTGAATTCCAAAAATAAATACGGAATACTTCATGGAAAGTGCAGGCGTATAGTATTTATGCACTCGTTCTTTTTGTATCAGAAATCGAACGAGTGAGCTCAGCGAACGAGTGCGTAAATACCGTACAAAGCGCTTTCCATGTGGTATTGTGTTTATTATATGCATACTGAGACATTCATCATTTTGGCAGCCTCTTTATTTCAAATCTTTCCAAAATGCTAAAATTTGCCGCTACACACCGCAAAATGACAACGAAATCGAAGTATCAGCTTATTAGTAAAAACGTTTGTTAAAAATATAATGTCTGTAAGGATATGAAAGAACTACAGAAATCCTAACTGTTTGTTCCGAATGCACAATTAAAAATGAATGAATTAAAGTAAAATGGCCGGTTTGAATATAAGCTTAAGCTTATTAGGCTTGAATAGAAGACAAACTTGTAGCTCAGAAAAAATCACAACTTGAGCTTACATCTCGTTCTGATTCCCACCTTCCGCTGTTGTTTTGCCGGCTCTCTACAGTTTTCTTCATCGACAGCAAAACAAACGAAACTATACCACTCCAATTTCCGAGATGTTTTTCACATTTTTTATGAGAAAAACACTTCGAGAAAAACCTTCCTCTTTGAATGTCTGCGAAGTAGCGCTGCAAGCTGCAAGCGCCTATAAAAGGCGGGAATTTTGGCGCGAAATTCACACCTCTTTCGCTTCTGATTGGACGTATAATTTTTTTTCTTTTCTTTTTTTTTTTTCACGTGTCAAAACCATCTTTCGTTTTTGGTTATGAAAATTTACGACATAGCTCTTTGGTGAGTATTTCTCAATATGTATGTCTTATCTCGTTATTTGGGACTGTACATATAGTTTGCCAAATTGTCTCATGCATTTCTGGATATGGGTGAATTGGGCCTTTGTACATTATCCTCGCATTTTCCGGGAAAAAAATCAATTCATTTTTAGAGAAAATAAATTAAGTAAAGTTGTTTTTTTTTCAGTAAAAACGAACACAAACTAGAAAAACCTCGAAATTCAAAGTGTGGAGACTGGGGGAAAGTTAATTTTTGCTGTTTAAAATTTTGTAAACTTGTTATACTACGTATACCATTTCAGCACCCTGTTAAAACGTTACAAGTGATAAAAAAGCCTCTAGTGACTTTTTTGGGTGTGACCGTGCATTTTAGTGGGGAAAATGGAGCATTAAGGTGGAGCATTTTAGTGGGGAAAAAAAGCATAATGTACAAAGGCCTAAAATGAACTCTACAGCAGCACTTTGTTTATGCTAGAGGACACTAAAACAGCAATATCAACGTAACATAGCCCCCTTGAACAATGATAAGACTAAAAAAATTATTAAAAAACAGGCTAAAACGATGTCTTATTATAGTTTCACCAGACAGTATAAATAAACCTGCTAGCAAGAAGATACCGAGCTTGTATTCAATTAACTTACCACGCCAATCCACTGGACGTTTTGCATGCGCTATAATGGTGGATAAAGGCAGAAGAATAAATTAAAAATCTTTATATCACATGTAGTTATAAAAATATCACCCCCCCTTCTCTTCAACGTCCACCCCAGAAGTAACCATTGTGTAAAGGTGGCCGTTTGGGCAGGTTGCGGTGAAATGCGATTCCAATATTTTTTAAGAAAGGCTTCAGTGTATAATTAAAAATGTTTGGGTCTCCTTCCTTGACCCATTTAGCTTTCCAAAAATCAGCAAGGATAGCTAATTCCACTGGCACCTCCTTTACCAAATTTGGACCCATCCTGATAAAGTCACACACCAAAAAACAAGCCACATTTAGGGGAAAACCCACCGCCAATTTTTCTTTATACCTACTACTCTTTGCAGATCACATTTTTCCCTTTTCTGGAAGGTTAGCGAGCCAAAATTTCATGCGAAAACGAAGGCGGGCATAAAGTGGGGAACAAAACTGGCTAGAAAAAGAAGGGCGAAGGGGAAAAAAAGAAAGCGAGAAAAAAGATCAAAATAGATTCACCAAAAAAGGCTATGGGCATGCGTGAGCAACAAAGGAAGTGCTTAATTACATCCACTAGCAGAAAGTTATGCTCTTAGTGTTGCAAACCTCTTTTGCTAACTGGCCAAAAAGGAGAATATGGTCAAAAGTTCGGGTTCTTGAGACTAAATAGCCTTTGCCAAAGGGTTAAAAGGCTTATCATAACGCGGTGATACATGAAACAACAAAAAATGTTGATAGAACAAAAACATTCGAAAATGAATCGATGTTTAACTTATGGCAATAAATACTTTTACTTATTGATCTGCTAAATTCTGAAAACAAAGCTTTTTTTCCACTAACGGCCCCTCTCTAGTTTAAAAACAAACAATAGTTTCTAGTTTCTCTAGTTTTACAACAAACAATTAGAAACCATAAGTAGAAAAAGAGACTTCATTACAATGTCAAACAGTAATTGTACGTACGACTCCGCTTCATTTGTCTTGGAAATAAATGATCTTTCTGCTATGTACACCTTGGTAATGGCAATAGAAAAAGCCAGAATAGTTGCAATAAACTGCCAGAATATCGTCACTACGTCACCAATGATTTGAAACAAAGCGATCTGAATGGCGCCAATCCCCTTGAATGTTTCCATCACGTGACCAAAGGCTCGAAGTGTAAGGAACATGGTGTTAAGGCCATACAGATATTCAGCGATAACGAGAGCTCGATTGCCGGTGACAGATTCTGACAAGCTCCACGTGACTACTCGGACAACAAGGGTCACTATGTAGTTGACAAGGGTTATGAAATCCAGAATGTTCCATCGATCACTAGGGGAAATCAATATTTAAGTTGAAGAAAATGATGTACAAATGTATTTATAGTAATCCTCTCTTTTAACTCCCTGCTTCTGCTTTCTTTCAGCTTTTCGGCTTTAATTTCAGCAGGTCGTTAATCTGAATCTCTCCCACGTGAGTTTTTGGCTTGGAATGGTATCCTTGGAAAAGCGTTTTTGAAGAATTTTTTTTTTTCGTTGCGATTTACCCATAAGGCTGCTCCAGAACTGGTTGAAGTATAAATCACTATTCAATTCTATAAATCTCTCACTTAATTATCACTGAAATAAGCCTAACTCTGATGTATAGCAATTTTTGGTCCGTAAGACGCAACACTTTAGCGAGCATGGCAGGCGCAAACGAAAGGGGAGGAGGAGCAGGAGGAGAGAAGGAAGAAAAAAAGTCTCTTACCCTCTCTTCCCGGTCCCCCTCCCCTTTTCCCTCCCTCCCTATTCCCTACCCCTTCCAACGCCTGCTACCCGGGCTACAACACTTCCTTATAGGTAGAACGCTACGTCTCCTAACATTTTCATGAACAGGAAAATAATACCTCTTTTCAGCACGAAAACTACTTAAATAATGACAGAACTAAGGAACTTTCCCATCAAAGAGGAGACTTCACTACCTCAAATATTTCTTGTATCTTTGCAGAAATGGAGTTCCTCTAGTTGGGCTGCTTTCAATTTCTTCTTCAGTTTCACTGTAGATTTGGTACTTTGATCCCCTGAAATCCTTTGTTGCAGCTAGACGCCTCGGCCGTACTTTGACATCTAGGAACTGTCGACTTTCCATCAAGATCCTGCCTAGGAAGAACACTAAAATAGCCCACTCTAGACCGCTGAACGGGATGGTCGATGACTCAAGGCAAAGAGCAACGAGTAAACCAAGCAGTACCAGGTAGCTGAGCGTGTCTCGAATGAACACGAAATATGGAGTTGTAAAGTATTCACGGTAACTTTCTGTGAACACAAAATGAGATCAAATATCGTTTACTTTTTTTAATTGCCTTATGTTCAATTCACTGACAAGGAAATAGAGTAAGTAAGTAAGTAAGTAAGTAAGAAATAGTTTTATTAATGTGTCAACTTATTTAGTTTTCACACCTAATTGGGGACACAACAAAAAAGTTAAAATTATTTACAAAGAAGAAATAAATAATGTATATACAATCAAAAATATGTAGCATGTATAAATTGTGCATTTAAACAGTAGGTATATAAATTGTAGTCTCTAAGAATAGCAAAGGCTAAACACACCATCATTTACATTCAATGTTCTCAAAGAACCAAAGATAACCAAAATTCTATTGATGGGATCAGATATGTAATTTCTGAAAACAGTGCCTTCTCAGTAATCTAAAGCTCAATCGGCCAAACAGTCAACGTCATACAAACTCTGTCTGCAGGGACGTCCAGAAACAGAACTTACCGACCAAATCTTTTCCATAAAGCTCTGACAAAAAAGCAAAAATACAATTCATCATTTTATAAATCAGAAACTAAGTTGCAAATAATCCTAGTGCTACCTAAAAAATAATAGCGTTTTCCCATGAAGCTCCATTTACTGCGTGTGTTCAATTTTTCCTCAACCTGGGTGAGTGCCGAGTCTTGCATCTTAATTTATAGGGAGTAGAGACCTTTAGATTCGAGGACGTGGAAGACTACGAGGACAAGATTTAACTTAAAGTCTTTTCGCGATTTCCAATAAAATAGACATCCTGGAAAGCTTCATTTTAGGTAACACTGTTATTTTGATTGAAAGAATTATTTGTAAAACAGCGGCAATGATACACAAAGCGCGGCTTTTCAGTCATTCTTTTCCTCTTTTTGAGAGCGAGAAAACCTTCACATAAATTGGCAACTACAATTCAGGTGCAAAAGACAAATACAAATTTAAAAAAGAAGCAGTAAATAATTCTAAATAATGTCAAAATTGTCATTTCAAAACAAAAAGAATTGTTCATTTCTTGTTAATTTTGCTTTTCAGTGTATTTTGTTTGTTTGTTTTGCTTTGCTTTATTTTCCAGGGAACGTCTTCGTTGGCGTCGCTTTTCCAGTTGCTCAAGTAAAATTCCCTGTGACTAAATTACAGCGTACCGTACGAAACACTCTTCCCGACGATTTTCGGATTTGCATATTCTCCAAAGTGCATGACCTTGCGTCCGTCACTGTTGATCTTCTCTAACTCCCGGATGTCTATGTGTGAGCCAATGCCCACTGGTACAATCTTCACTCCCATTTCTTTGATTGGCTGAATTTTTTTCTCAATAAACTCTTTGTACTGCCTTTTTAAACATATTTTGTGGTCTGTGAAAAACACCAGCACCTAAAAAAAGAAATTATTTGCTTGACCGGGCCAAGCTATACACACTTTAAAGAAGCTCAATCTACATGAAGTAACAGTAATTAGGTAAATATCACCTGAAATAAGTCCGCACAGATTCAACTGGCCTTAAAATTTGAGGTCCAGAGAACAGCACCACTGTAGTGAAAACTTTTACGAAGGTAATTTTTCAGGTGCGTGCCGGTTGTGGAATAGTTAATTTATTTACAGAATCTAGAAAAGTGTATGGAATAGTATCAGATCGTCCCATAAATATAGAGCTTAGGTACTCAGGGGCAGGTCCATGGAGGGATTTAAAAACCATTAACGCTTCTTCGATCATCCCTGCCACTTGAAATCCGGAGTACCCCCTCCCCCCGTCTCTTGGACTTTTTTAAACTCACGCCGAGTACTAAATATTTTTTCCAATTTAGACTTTTCCAATCTAGCGAAACGCTGACAATATCTTACGTTTGCAGCCTTCATCTCGTCTGCTAATTGTTCTTTACGAAGTTCCTCGAAAAAGGCGGCAAGAGGAGGCGATCAGAGGAATATGAAGTCTTTAGGTAGTTATACTTGTTTTGTTTCTGTTTACGTTGTAAACAATACTTCGCCCAGCAATATCTGGTTATTAAGCTTTCCACATGACAACTAAGAAAGCGGAAATTAATTTTATTTGCTATCTAGTACATACCTTTTCAGCGTCAGTCCGATTACCCTGACAGAGCGTAAAACCTGGACCCACTTTATCCAGAACTTCGTGAAGAACAGGAATATTAACCTTGGAATTCCTTGTCAATTCATCCACTTTATCTGACAATTCCTCAGTAAAACACATTTCCCTCGTTGTCGCATCTTCCTCATGAATCAAAATGTGGTACTTTACTTTGTGGTTCTTGTAATTGCGCAACAAGTATTTCATTGTGTTTTTCGTCAGTTCGAAAGCTTGATCAGCGACATCAGATGTTGCGCTGATAATAAAAACAAGGTACATCTCTAAAGAAAAAAAGAAACAGAACATTTTATGCCATTGACAATCCAAAAAGGGCATCTCATCCTATAAACAAAGCAGCCTCCTAAAACCACGGTTACAAAATATCATATGCAGAAAAAGTGAACAAGATAAACACTAATTATTATATATGCGCGGGTTACACACATTATGGTAAAAGGCATTTTCCCACGCACGTTAACGAAGCCGTTGTAAATTTTAACGTGGGTTTAGTTTACCCTGGTATGCGGTTAAACGTAAATTAATTCCCAAGGTAATTTAGTCGATTTTACGGCTTCATTCGCGCTATTGAGGTAATAATTATAATCGCGGTCGATCATGGCAGTATTTCATGTTATGTTGAAAATTTACGTATAATTTAGCTGAAATTTCACCTGGTACTATGTTAGTCCTGATAAGTTAGCGAAGGTACAAAGCATTTTTTTAAATCTTTCATTTTACAGTTCAGCTGCATGCAAACAATAGAACATATTTTGAACAAATGTCGTTCCCACATCTAGCACAACAAACCAGTTCAAAATTGTGCCTTAAAATGTCCCTGTTACTTTCATCGTAACGTGAAATCTGCCATGTCAACATCGATTTTTCAGGAGATTTTTCTCTCAACAGTGCGAAAGATACCCGTTGAAAAAGAAATTTTTTGGCGGTTTCATGTTGTTGTCAAACGAAGAAACCTGATTGGATCTCTTACCTTGGGTATCGAAAAACCCGAGCTATTTATCGCGTTAAATGTCCTGGCTGGTTTCTTCCCTTCTTTTTGACGTAACCATGGATATTTCCCATGGCAAACTTATCTCGGGATAGTCCAGTCACACACACTACGCCAATTTCCCGCGGTAAAAGGGTCCCGTGTAACCGCACACATTATTCATTTACAGTACAATATTACAGTATTCTAAATCGTGCAAATGCCCCGGCTAATTCGTATAAAATGCGGACAAAATTGGAGAGGTTTGTGATATCCAGTAAAGTAACGTTAACAGCACAGAATATCACCAGAAATAGGAAAGCAACCGAGAGACCCTGGGAACGAGGTTGCGTTAGTTCAGCTGTTTTGGTAGAGCTAAAGAAAAAGGCGGAAAATTTAAAACGTTTAGCGGAATACTGCCCAAAAATATAGCATGAACTTAAACATTTCGAAACTCGACGGATAGCAACTGCTAGTTGAAGAATATCTGCTCTACTAAAGATTCCTTTGTATCCTGAATTTGAGGAGGGAGAGGCAAGTAAAGTCATTCTAACTTGCGTGAACTTGCCATCGATCGTGGAAAGCACCTTCTGTTTGAAGTATTTTAAATGAATAATAATTATCGGATGGGTCTGAGTAAGATCTGAATATATATGCAGATCTAGTTATCGTCCAAATCCACCATATGCAATCTGCATTATTCTCCTGGTCATATTCATTCTCATCCAACAATTGCTAAATCTTAAAAATCTCGCAAGTAAACAGTCTGAGGACTTCTTAACGGACACCCTCGTAAGCAAAAGGTCTGTCCAAAACATATTTTGGATACATTTCTTCCTTGGCAGTTGGGCAAGTGTTGAGGCATTTAAAATGTAGGCTGTGATGGAATTAAAGAATTTGAAGTATCACCAAAGCATCACCATGCATGAGAAAGACCATGTAGCACTGAGTTACATCTTACAAATACAATAAAATACATGTAGACCTTATTCTGAAATATCACAAATACTCTCTGTTTTCTCTCCAAAATTTTGTATAAGCATGGTTCTCAATTTCTGTGGGGAAGACCGCAATTTGTGGAGAAGAAACAAAAAGTATTATATTTTTTAATAAGGCCTATGTACAATCATTTAAGTACAGTGATACATGTGCTTTAACTTTTTACATGAGTTTTTGTCGTTTAATGTGGGCGATGCAAGCACCAGTTAAAAGAGGATGTCCGCATACGAAAGCTTCGAATACGAAGGCTTTTGACAATTTTTTTTCACCTTTGCTTCGGCGTGTAGCCTTCGTAATGTAATCCTTGATAGAAAACGTAGTGAACAGGAATGGAAACAAAACAATGTCAAATAGACACCAAATGTTGAGAACAATCCATTTCCACCATCCAAGCTCCAGCCAAGAGGATTTTTTCATTTTTCCAAATGATCCAAACCACTTTTTCTTCATCAAATTGTACATTACTGGATGAGCAAAAAACTGGCGAGAAAAAAAGAACTACATAAGCAACAATATTGTAAAAAGATAATGTACATTACTAGTTTTACGACATTGTTATGACCTATCATCAAAATTTGTGTTTAATCCTTGATTTTTGTATTGCGAATGAAAATTTGTTAAATATAGAAAATCTGAATTCAACTTACTTAATAAGAATCTTGTCCAACAAGGAAAGCCTTTAAGAAACCGTGCTGAAGCTCTTACAATTTCTTTCAAATGCATTTCCTAAGTTTCTAAGTTTCCTTCCCTAAGTGTTTCGCCTAAACGCGGTAAGGAGGTTTGGGTGCCTTCATGACCCTGGAAGCTATGCCAGTGGATACCTTGGTCCCTGGTGGGTTAAACAGTGCTGGGCAGGTTATGGGTAAAAGGCCATATAAATTGCAACGCCTGGCCCTCTGGGTTGGGGAGTGGGCGATGGGTAAGTGTCCCATCCTCGTAAAAAATATCATTACAGAAACCAGACACTCTTTTCAAGATAGCAGGTTGACAGAAACGTGTAAAGGTCTTTTGAGTGACGGAGCGCCAAGAGCCGAGGTAGGTAAGGTAAGCGTTCTCCAAGATAAAAGTTATTCCATTCTAAACTAGGGGTACCTTCCGGCAAGTGCCAATGAGGCGAATTCGTTTATCTTTTGTGGAATGTGCCTATTCAGATCCTCTTTCAAATTTTAGACTTTTAAAATGGATTCCGCTATAGAAAAGGATGGCACCCAACTTCCAAACAACAACTTTGGCACATTCTAGGCTTTCACTTTTATTGAACAATAACAACATGGCTTGAAGCGTTGTTGGTAAATATGAGCAACTTATCACTTGTGTTTCTTGGAAAATTCCATTGTATCAAAGCTATAAAGCTAGAAAGAAAAATATAGTTCAAATGAGGCCTTTGACTTCTGAAATTAAAAATAATAATTAAATTCCGAACAACAGCGTCATCAGGGATAAGAAAAATATTTTGCGTGGTAATATACATAAGAAGAAAATTGGTGTAAACTAAAATGTGTGAAAAGCGCGCAAGAATGGGGCGGAATGTATTAGAGGTATAAAAATATAAACTTGAATAAAATGCAAAGATCTAATGGGCGAGTGTCATAGAACAAAGAGTCTCTTGAAAGGCATAATGATAGTCTGAAAAAAAAAAAGTCCGCAAATTCGTTGCACTCCCACGGGAGTTTTGGGCTGTCTCAGTGTAAATCGAACAGCAAAAAAAACATGATAGTTAACAAAATCTCTCGAAAAACATAAATAAATTTTTAAAAAAAGGTCCGCAAATACGTTTTATGCCTCACGGGAGGTGAGGACTGGCTCAATGTAAATCGACCAGCGAAGAACACGCTGGTATAAGTTTTGAGAATATAACCCTATACCTTGATCAACTACCGCTTAAAATTCAGTTCACAAAGGAAAAGAGAACGCTGAAAACCCTGGTTCTGAGTCGAGGAGCAAACACGCAACCTCAATATAAATCGAGCTGCAAAGAACAAGCTAGTTTTGATAAAAATCTGAGCGTAAAACCCTATTCCTTGATCTTCTGCTGCTTTAAACACAATTTATAAAGCAAACCAGAGAACTAATTGGCCATTTCAAACTAGAAATCGTTCTAAAGCTTGCTCACCAGTTAGGTCCTCTTGAACAGACAACGAACAGCTGCACACTGAATCACCCAATCTTGAACCACGAGTTGTAAATACAAGACCATGACGTCACTACCCAAATATGGGGTCTTGCACCCAAATATTGTCAAAAATGCAAATTTTAGAGGGTTACGCAGAATTTGAGAGTTTTTGCCTACATTGCGCGGCGTTATAATTCTGCCGCCAAGTCAACCTCGCTTCTTACTAGCTCGGTTGCCTCGTTGGCAATGAATATTGATGAATAGGTAACGTCGGGGCCACGGTTTCGAGAACCCGTTGAAGCCCTGAAATTTTTTCGGGCATAATTTGAAAATACTTAAAAATGGGAGAATAACTGCGAAGATCATGCCTTCCTTTTTTTGCAGCTCACACCACCTTTATTCTATGGACTTCATTCTATGAACTACAATGGTAGCTCTGTCTCCGAGCCGGAAAAGATTGCAAAATCTTTAATCTTCTTTGTCGAATCTATTGCAAGTTCAAATAAAGACAACGTAGAAGAGTGTGATCACTCCAAACTAAGGAACTTTATTAGTCGAGCTTGCCTTAGCAGAGCGAGACTCTTAAAATGCAGGCCTCTTTTGTTTCTGTTTTTTCGTCGGTCTTCCCCAAATGGTCGGCCATGGTCCCAGGCGCTTAGAAACTGGGGATAAGAATCGTGACGACTTTCGTTGTATGCAAATGAGTCTCGTGATGAGCATGCGGTTTATTTTCGGCGATGACTGAAATGACGCATGTAAATTTATCAGGCTTTTAGCTGTTAATTTGGCAATGATGTAATTTTCCCCGATTCGACGCCCTTGTTTTTCGTGTAATTATGCACGCGTATTAAAAAGAAAATCCCTCGATGAAGAAAAATTATAACACGGAAATCCTGTCTTGTGGTGTGTTGAGGCGTTACGTTTCTCACTTTGTACTTTGCACTGAATGCACCTTTTAACTCAAGATCCATGAACCTGTTTAATACACTTAATTGGATTTCTTTTTATAGGGAGTCGCACATAAATTGGTACCCACTCATTCACAACAAACTTAAAGGAAACACTCCTAATTGTATGAATGAACTTCCAGTTACAAATTTCTAGCATGCATATGAGGAATACAAGATACTGTAATTTAAATTTGTTTTGTTCTATATATAATTATGCCACCGTGGGTGGTCGTTCTTTTACAGTTTGTTCTATTAAGGATTGGAACTCTATACCAAGATCTCTAAGAGCTTTGGACAGTTACTCACGTTTTTTTAAAAAAGCTTTTTTAAGAAATTTTTAGTTACTGAGAAAAAGGACTCAAGTTTTTAACATACAGTCGAACCCCGCTATTTCGAAGTCCCAAGGGAAATGGAAAAAAGTTCGAAATAGTGGGGTTTCGAAATAAGCGGGGAAGCGTAAAATTCATAACAATGAAGCATTTTTTAATAAAATACAGTACAGTATGAAGAAAGGCACTGATTAAATAAAAATACAATGTCGAATGATCAGAATAGAGACAGCAGAGTTCATGCATGAGTATTTCAGCCGGAAGAACAGTTCTCTAACAGTGCGTTTTGGTATTGGGGCCATAAAACGAATAAGGCACCTTGTCCCTCAGGCGACCTTACAACTAATATATCAAGCTTTAATACAGCCACACTTTGATTATTGCAACATTGTTTGGGGAAACTGTGGGATAACCTTACGGAATAAGGTTCAAAAGCTACAAAACGGAGCAGCCCGTGTTTTGACCTACTCAAGCTATGACGTAGATGCTGGTCACCTTTTCAAACTTCTAGGGTGGAAAAACCTAGCTTGCCAGCAACAATTTCAAAGAGCTACGATGGTTTACAGGTCTCTGCACGGGAGTAGTATGGATGGCTACAGTAGGTCCTGACCAATCAGAGCGCAGCAAAATTGGTCTCGACCAATCAGAATCGCGCATTTGGACCATGTGACTTTTGTGACGTCACACCCATTGTTTTAACCCACGTGACCTCTAGGAATAAAGAACACACGCACACAAGAGTTGAATCTACATGCTTGGCATAGTTTTAATGAGAAGAGTCTGATAGTTGAACGCATGCGCAGTGAGGTCCAAGCGTTTACCCTGCGCAATCACGTGAATGAGATCGTAGGCACATGCGCAGACCGCCAGACGACTCCCCAGGTCCCCCGCATGCCGGTGAACCTATTTCCGCGTAGACCTACTGCGCATGCGCAAGTCATGAAAAGTAGTCCCAGACCCCTCGCATCCCCAAAGTCAAGAAAAACACACAAGATTTTAGATCCACACATGATTTTTTAATGGACGAGTCGCGAATGAGCCTAGTTACATGCGGGACGTGTGTGACGCCCGAGTGACGTCACGCCCTTGACATTAATAAGTGAACATAAGAAAGGGTGTTTGCTTCCTAGAGGCAGAAGTCATGAGCGCTGGATGAGGCCATTTGATATAGTGGTTGAAACCTGTGAATGACCACGGTTTGATTAAATAAATTTTGAACGTGGCATTGGTGCCTGAAAACAAATTAGAGGAGGGGTGGTTAGATCCAAGAAGCAAACTGAATGAGATACAGTCGACCATTGGCACGTACGAGACGATGGTTTATTATCCAATGATTGACTGGAAAACAAACAAAAAACAAAAGACTTTATTACATGTGGGACGTATGTGACGCCCGAGTGGTGTCACGCCCTTGAAATGATTGTTTACAATGATATTTTATTATAATCAAAATGGTCTAAGATCCAATGACATGCTAATAAAACATCAATATCTTAGTTTGAGTATCTAAGAACCAATGACATACTAATGAAAGAAAAAAGAAAAAAAAATCAACGTTTGAGTTTGAACAAATGGAGTAAGCTGGACCATCCTTGATGATTAACAATACAGAGTTTATGAGGGATGGGCCAGCTTCGAAAAATCATGATATCTTGTATAATCCAATGAGAATCTAATGAAAGGAAAATGAAAAATGAACATTCAACAGGGGTGGCGCCACCATGCAGACCTCCCCCTGCCGAATGTTCAAAATTCCCATCCTGTGCTTTCTAAGATGTAACATCCCCAACAGGGTTCAGAGAGGACGGACACATGCCGTGAATAGGTCCAACAATCATTGCACGTGAAATACAATTGTCTTCCCGGTCCAAACCTCGTGTACCTGGTGTGTTTCAGGATTATCTGGGTAGTGGCTGAAAAAGGGAAGGGAGGTAAATAGCTCGTATGACAAAACGAGTATCTGAAAACGAAAAAAAACAGGTTTTCAAGGACGGGGTGGATAACCCATGCCTTGCAACATCTCACACCAATAACAGGGCACGTGTAAATCTTGCACGCGACGAAAATTCAAAAAACAACGACAACAGAGTAATTTGAGGGGTCTTGGATACGGTGGAAGAGGGACCCCTGGTCCAGTGTACCACTGCACGATACTACCACAAAAACACCAGGCCGCGGACGTGCCGTGAACCCTGTGGGTGCTGAGAATAGTATGCGAATCTATGAAAAAAATTAATAATAATATTTTGTCTTCATGAGTAAGAAAACAAAGCGGTCTAGGAAGAAGCAACTGTTGTAGATGTGGGTATGTGTCTCTAAAATTTTGAAAAAAATCAATAATAATAAATGTCTTTCATGTCTGTTCCAAGTAAAAAAGCCACGGGGTCTCGGAACCAGCGGCTGTTCTGGAGGCGGGTACGGGTCTCTAAAAAGCAGTATTGTTACAGAATTGATTGAATTGTCGAACACAATGAATATGGCATCGGTGTTGCAAGGGAAGGATCCACCCCCATTGGTCAATGACCTCAATCACATCTGAAATATTTCATGAAGTTGAATTACACATTGGACCGTACTATATTGACATCTTAATTGAAAGGGTCGAACCCATCCTCCATATTGTTTTAGTGTGAAATGAAAACCTACAAAGAGGTGAAAAATGAACGAGTCAGGATTCGGAAAAAATGGGAGTGTAAAAAGTGCACACTCGGAATCCATTGCAAATGATCACGTAACAGGCAATGTGTGCCTGTGAAAAAAAATGAACTGAAATTAATCGTCTAAAAAACCAGGTCTGCCAAATCGGGTTCACCCACATCACCCTGTCTCCGGAGAAACGTGTTAATTCGGAACGTCATACGTAACGGAAAATCGTCCCAATCCCGATGGTTAGGGTCCCCACTCTGTACATAGTCTACAATTTCATCTTCGGTGAGGGTCCCCTCCCAGTTGCCAGCTATCACATCATCCATGCGAAACCCATCCATCATTCTCTCGCAATGGTTACAGACTCCGCCATGAGTAGGATGAGCGATCCACTGGTATATATGACAAACAGGCTGATTTTCCACATATTCCCATGAATCTAACAAACAAAAAAATCAACACGAACAGGTTGGAACCCAGAACCGCGCGGCCCAATTGAGTTGAGCTCGTCGAGGGCAAAGACACAGGTGGACAGGCCACAACACGGTGCGTAGAAACTCAAACCCCTTGAATACCTCTATGAAAAAAAAAAAAGGTATAAGGAAAAAAAAAGGGGACCCACACCCCGAAAAAAAACTATGAAACTCACCAGCCATGCGGCGCCGATGCACCTCGTGATCCAATTTCCGGGCGATCGGGTGGTCCCACGGGAACGTCTTGGCCCAATCCCGCAACTCTTCATGCGTACATCTGCGGAATAGCGCGCAGAACAACTCATGGCCCATAGGCAGTTGGTGGAGAATCTTCAACATGTCGATGAGAACCGCAATCGGTACCGAGAACAGCACAATCGATTGTAAAGAGCTCACCATCTTGAATAGCAACGCTGATCAAACTGGAATGAGCTCACACAGAGCGCGCAACGTGATTTAGAGACTCCATGAGAGACACTGATTGGTGGAGAGACATCACGTGAGGGAATTTGACCACGAGAGGAGACTCTAGGGGGTACCCCCCATGGGTACACTTTTTTGGGTGAGACTCCAAGGCCTGGTACGAGTGGGTGATTGGTCCAAGGAACGGATAACTAAGGCAGACTAGAGTGGAGAGAGCCCATTCCATGCTTGGCCACTGTCATCATGGACTGCCGAGGGTTGGTCGACCCCAGGAATAAACCGTTTGGCAACGTGCTCCCGTTGGAAGTGCAAGTGAAGATCATGTTTTGGGTGGAGTGTTTTTACACGATGGACAAGCGTAAAAAAGTGGTGCGAGAGTTCAAAGGGTTGCCCAAATGCGCCATGACAGGGTATCCCAAGCACCTAGGCGAGGGCCTGACTTGGAACCAAGTGATCGTGCGATTGCATGCCCCCAGGACCAATGGGTGCCACCATTGCCATCGCATGTCGGATCACCGGATGTCGGTGAGTGATTTTGTTTTTTGCCTTCTTCTCATGACCTTGACACTGACAAAAACATTTTTTTTTTGTCTGGTTTTAGGTTGGCATGATGGCGGAGATGGCCCGTGTCCCTCCCAATCTGGATAGGTTGATGAATGAGGGCATTGCCTTTGTCATTAGGCAATTCGCCCATCGGATTCCCGAGACACCCTTGGGTGAGCGCCCCGTCATGATTGGCCGAAGGAAGCCCTCGTACGATTCCATAGACAAAGTCATGACGAGACTGGATTTGATTCATAAAGTGATGGATGCCATGGATCTTGTTATTGTTGATGTGAATTAAAAACACGCACATGTGATTTGTTCTATGAAACAGTGTTTGTTTATTGACGTTTAAATAAAGCGTCCAGGGTGGGATAGAGGACAGGGTCTTCTTCTCGGGTGCCGATAATGGCGGTCTTGTCTTGGAGGGTGGGTAAAGCGATTTGTTCCTCGGTCATGCCCTCACAGACTTGATACTCTTGGGAGGTGGGATTCCACCAATACCATTGTTCTTTATCCACATCGAATACATAGAGGGGTTTGCCTAAAAGTTGGGCCATGATCACACCCCAGCCTGTACCTCCCAACAGATGCTTGCCATATTCATCAAAATGACCCAACGCGAGAACAAGGGACGCCGGCTGAATGACGTAATAATTGCGTTGAATGTACTGGAGGCTGATGGGATGATGGATTTGTCGACCCAATCGAAATGCCACCTGGGTGACGGTCGGTGTGGCCGCATCCAACTGGGATTGAGTCAAGGGCGTGAGAGACTTGGATCGAGGGTGACAGGGTGGGATAAAGACCACACAGGTATGACCATACAAGTGACATAATCGCTCCGCATGCGTGTCCACCCCTTTAGCTCCTCCGGTGTAAATAGTCAAAGGCATACTCTGTGAAAAAAAATAAAAAAAAGTCAGTGTTTATGACGAGGGATGGGCGTCCAAGCCCACATGGAATGTGGTTCATCATCAGCGTACATCAGGGGCACATCCCATTCCCGTTGGGTCACGGTTTGTTCAAAGACACGTAAGACGCTACGACAATCATCGCAATCCTCCGGGATCCAATCCAGTCCTTGACCATTAGCAAACGCCTGGTCTTTGGCCTCGATACAAAAGTTGCACAACAGTTCGTCTAATAATCGATCACACCGTTTTTGCCACAATACGCGTTGGGCGTTGACTTGCGAAAGGGTGGGTAGGACATGGGTCTGGCGACGTAACCATCCACTCATTTGACAGACCCGCACATGCGCGCAATGATCATGCCAGATACCACTCCCACGGGCTCCATGAGAATGATCCTCACACCAATTGCGACCATGATCGTGGTGAGCCATGACATTGGCGGTGGCAATAGGGAGATTGGCCAAGTCCCCACACCCCTGCCCTTCCAAGACCACGAGAGGGTAAGCAAACGGGGGCTCATGGAACAGTCGATACAGTCCATTGAGCGTGTGAACCCCGATCCGATTCCGCTGGGGGGTGAGATGCTGTTGACACCAACGGGTGATATCGTCTCGCATTTGATCGTAGGGATGAAAGTCTTGGCGATTGTACGCTGTATACGGTTCGAAGGGCAAGCCATGCACGGTCTGGGTCTGACGATCCACTCGGGTTCGGGCCTCCTCGGATAATTGATGGTACGACACACCCTTCGGTAACAGGTATTTGAACAATCCATGATGATGCCCTGTCCAATCACAAAAAGCCAGTTCTCGAATGATATACTCGTCGCGGGAGAGGGCAAACCCCTGACTGAACACCAAGAGACCCACTTCATGGAGTGCCATGCTTACCGTGTCAAGTGGACTGCAACGAATGAGAGGGGGTCGTAGACGCTTCGCTGGTTTTATAGCCCCTGGGATAGCCGCTGATTGGTGGAGACCAAGATCATACGATCATCACGAGAGCCCAGAACGAGTCCGGATTGGTGGAAAAAGGATCGTATGAGTATCACGAGTGGCATCACGAGACGTGGGAGGAGGGGTTATAAAAGGCCGGGTAGACGCTCCCTTGAAGTCATTCGTCAGTCGAGGGAGGATGGATCGTCAAGCCACTCAACCTGCAGCCGTGCCGTCGGGACGCAAACGACGTCGCGTCAGTAAGAAACAAAAACAAGAAGAGGAGAAAGCCCAAGCGCGAGCTGCACAGATGAAAGCGGATCATGATCAGGAGATGGCTGAGCTTGGGTTGTCCCGAGCTGAACTCCTAGAGATGAAAGCCAAACAACCCCCGACCAGCGAACTGGTGATGGCTCTCAATGCCTTGCCTAAAGCCGACGACCCACGGCCACCCCCTACACCCTCGCCCATCGACGACCTGATGGAGGGCACCCTGAAAGACTATAAGGAAGAATGTGTAGAGGAAGGGACGTTTCATTCAGATCCCGCGACGGAAGTAGGGGAATGGGAAATCCTGGACCAGATGGACACCCAGCTCAACCAACTCCTGTATGAAGCCTGCCCGTTTCATCCCCATCAATTCCTGGAATGCGTCAACCCCCAAGCCCAATTTGGTCCCTTGCGGTTCAAGTGTCCCCAACCAGGGTGTCCCGTGTATTTGTTTGAAGACACGCGAGAGGTGATGATGGAGAAATTGAAAGAAGACACGCATCCTCAAGTCCATGCCCGAATCAAACACGGAGAACTCAAGTGCAAATGTGGGTTGGTTCCCAAGATGAAATTGAGTCGCACCGCCAAGAATTACAACAAAGTGTTTTTCAGTTGTGGGAGCTTTCTCACCCATGCCAAACCCTGCGGTTACTTTCAATGGCTCCATGGTCCTCTATGGTGTCCCCGAGAGCAAGCGCAACCAACCCTGAGACGATGGGTGAAAGACACACCTGTCCCTCTTTTGAAAGGAAAAGACCCCGAGAAGGAGAGACCCTGGGGCATGCACACTGTAGAGATGCGTTATGGTGAGAGGCCAGACCCCGAGATAGAACAGATGAAGTATGATCCATGGTTAAAACAGTTTGGCGAGTCTGTCCAAGCCCAGGAGCGAGAGTTTGAGAGAAGGCGCCATTTGCATAAGAACTTTGGGAGCTCGTGTTTGTTTTGAAAATTCATGTAGGTGAAAAACTATTAAAGACAGAATTGGACTCAGACTATGTGTCAGTGTCTTGATGTCGTTGCCACGCGCTTACGAAGATCCCCAAGCACCTGGGGCCTTGGGTGGGGTCCAACCCTTTGCCCAAGCCCATAAATTGAAAACCCCGCAAGCGCAACGGATTCTTCAATCCGTGTTGAGCTATACGCTCCACAAACCCCGACGGACGCGGTTTCCCACCACCCCCACCTTGGTCTTTGGCCGCGACGAACAATGGCAGATGGATTTAGTGGACATGCAAAAACTCAGTCGGTGGAACCAAGGCCACAAATATTTGTTAACGGTCATCGATGTCCTGTCCAAGTATGCCTGGGCCGTGCCCATCAAATCCAAGAGTGCCGCCAACATGATCCGAGGGTTGGACGCGATACGCCGACGGGCCTCACCACGACGACCCCTCCGTGTGCAAACGGATCAAGGCCAAGAATTTTTGAATCGAAAGGTCCAAGCCTGGTTCAAGAAACACGGCTGGCATCATTTTTTCACGTATGGGGATAGCAAGGCCTCGGTGGTGGAACGATGGCATCGCACCTTGAAACAACGCATGTACCGGTATTTCACTGCGCACAATACGTTACGGTACGTGGACGTCTTGCAACCCTTGATCTATACCTACAATCACGCCTATCATCGCAGTATCGGGATGGCCCCGCATCAAGTCACCTTTCGAAACGAGTCCGAGGTATGGGATCGACTCTATGGATCACGGTTGAAGCCCAAGATCCCCCCACCCAAATGTCGCGTAGGGGATCGAGTGCGTCTCAACAAAAAACATCGTCCTTTCAAAAAAGGGTATTTACCAGGATGGACGGAAGAAGTGTTTGTGGTCACGCACGTCCGTCGTCATCCCGTGGTCACCTATCGACTCAGTGAATGGGACGGCACCCCTATAAAAGGCACGTTTTACGAACCCGATGTGCAAAAAGTCCAAGTGTCGGACGATTCATTGTTTCGAATCGAAAAAGTCTTGAAACGCAAAGGACGTCAAGTCTTGGTTCGGTGGAAAGGGTGGCCGGCCAAGTACGATAGTTGGATTCCCGCGCAACATGGTCCGCGTCAAACTCACGCCTCGAAAAAGAAAAAAGCGGGTGCAGTTTCTCGATGACACACCTACCACGGACGCAGAGATGATGAACTTTATCCAGACAAAAGCCGCGGAACAACGGCAAACCCAACCGTGGTGGGAAAAGTTGGCCAGTCCCACCAAACAGCAATGGGCCTACGCCAATGCTTACCATCGAGCCGAAGAGTATGCCAAGCAACGAGGGGCTCTACGGTCCCCACCCAAGAAAAAACAACAACAACGTCGACGCGCCGGTCGTCATCCACCCATGCGCAAGAAGAAACCCCCTAAAAAAAAGACCTGCATGACCCTGATGGAACTAGCCCGGGCCTTTCCCAACATTGCCCAGCAAGTATGTTTTCATCCCAAACAATCGACCTTTAATTCAGTGGTGGGACGCGTCCCTCGCAGTAAACAGAAAGTGGCGACTTGGCTATAAAAGGACCCTGCACCTTATTAGACGTGCCTCTTCTTCCTCATGATGAGTGAGATTAAACGCTTGACGCTCATCAGTGATCCGACCGACGAGTTTCCCAACAATGCCAACAACAGTTTCAAGGTCCGTCTGCCCGAACGCCTGAGCTTACCGGGCGAAGGCTGGCACGCTTCGTTATTGTCCCTGACCGTGCCAGATCAAGGTCAGAGCAATGCCGTCATTGCGACGGATCCTCACACCAAAGTCGTCAAAATAAGCGTCATGTTCTTGACGCGCAAATGGGTAACTGGGTCGTACAAACAGGTCGAAATCAAGAAAAAAGATTATGGAGTGGAATTGGAAGAAATCATGAGTGCCAAACAGTCTGTGACCACCGGCAGTGAGTTTTGGAAACGCGTGATGCAAGAAGTGCACAACAAGGTCATGCAGGCATTGATCAACCAACAAAGTGCTGCCATGACCCATCATAGTGATCAATTTCCCGTGGTCAGTGTGAAAAAGAACTGGATGCCTATGATGAGCTGGAAAGGCGATGCCTTGGTGCTGCATGCCGTGGATAAAGGAGACTTGATGAATGCCAACAAGAGCAAAGTCACGAGCGCCTTCATGATGGATCTGGAGATCGCAAAAAGGTTTGGGTTCATTGAAAAACCCGCAGGGGTGGATGAGGGGTATGTGCTGGGGCCCAATCTCCAATTCACGTGCCCTACCGTGACCTACACGAGCCAAACCCCGCCAGACCACAGTTCCTACCCCTCTGTTCGCGCGGATCTCAATTGGAATGGAGAGCATTATGCCGGGATGCTACCCAAGGATTTGACCGATGACGACGATATAGATCAAATGTTTGAGGTCAACGGAAAACGGCTTTTGCTGTCCAGGCTGGTAGAATGGCAGTTCAACAACCTGGATGCTTCGTTTGAAAAGATGGTGGGCACCAGCAAACGCACCGTGATGGTGTACTCAGACCTGGTGGAATCCACCGTGGTGGGCAGTGGCAAGTATCCCCTGTTACGGGAAGTGCAATTATTGAGAACAGGGGAAGGAGAAAGTACAGCCGAACCCTTGCACCACCAATGGATCAAAGTACGAGGCCAACAAATGGATATCTTGGAAGTGGAAATTGCCAGTACCAGTGGACCCCTGACCATCCTACCCCCGGGCAAAACCCTGGTGACCATTGGTCTCAAACAGCTATAAAAAGCCACCCCACGTGTTCTGGAACATCAAAAAGCACCACGACGTGAACCATGCGCGGAGGCAGTTTAACGCGGTACCATACGCCCGTGGTCACTAAGCAAGAGGGCAAAGGCTTGGCGGAAGACTTGATCAAACTGGCGGGACCCCTAATTGTGCAACAAGCTCAAGCGGGACTGCAAGATATTCAACGTGGCAAGAGTGCCGCGGACACGTGGGCCGATCGAAGTGCCCAACTCAGCCGCGGCTTGAAACGCAAAGCCCCTGCCATGGCTTGGACGACTGGCAAACACAAGGTTAAACGGACTGCCCAAAATACCTATAAAAGAGCCACGCAACGCGTACGGGATATCTTTGGACTGTGAAAAATGGTACGTGTAGGAGGCTTTCTCAAATCGCAAAATCGTGTTCGACGGCAACGCGCCCGTGGACGGTTCATTTCGCCGTATCAAGTGGGGGGCACGATTTTTGGCAAGTCGACCATGGCGCGTTATCCCCTGATGAATACGACGCATCGGATCAACCCCGAACCCTGGAGGGTGAAGCAGGCCCTGCGCCGCATGAAAGGGGGCACGATTTTTGGCACGTCCACTCGCATGCGCATGGGGGATCCCATGAAGGTCCTCTCAGCCGCCCAAGAAAAGGCCATGATGGACCGTTGGATCAAGAAACGTATGAAAGGGGGCACGATCTTTGGCCAGGGGGATCTCCGAAAAGTGTTGTGGGCCAACCAAGCCAAAGCCAGGAAGCAGAAGAAGCAGAAAGGGGGCAATGTCTTTAGCAAGTTGAAAAAACGCATCCAAATCGATTTTCCTCACCGCCCCTTTCCCTCCGCGTTTCCCATCCATGATTGGCACAGACTACAAAAGGGTATAAAAAGAGGACGCCGTTGAACAACGTGGACAGACCGCATCATGTCGCTCAGTCTGTTTGACGTGCCCGATGTGGATTATCGGTACGAAGCCTCGCGGGAGGTGGAGTTTCAACCCGCCTTGACGGGTATCCAACCCATCACCTTCTCCATTCCAGGCTCCGACGATTATTACGATCTCAATTCTCTCCGCTTCAAAGTCAAAGTACGCCTGACCGATCCCGCCGCTGGGTATACAGGATTGCATGCTGGTCTGCTCATTTCCAATGCCAACGAAACCAGACATGTCTACTGCGTCAACAATTTCGGTCACTCCATCTTTCGAGATATTACCATGAGCATGAATGGCGTCCTCATGACTGAACAGAGCAACACCTACCATTACAGAGCCTATCTAGAAACCCTCCTGAATTACAACCGAGAAGAAGGAACCACCAAACTAGCCCCCCAAGGATGGATCAATCAGCTCAATGTGGCAGAAGAAATAGGAGCTACAGCCGCCAATTCCGATGTCCCTGTGGCCGCGGATTGGAGTGGCAATGCAGACTTGCGAACCCTGACCAGCAAGTTGCTGGGTGAACATTGGCACACCTTCATTGTTCGTCCCCATTTGCCACCCCTCAAGACAGGCAAATTGTTGGTTCCCAATGTTCAGTTGGACTTTGAACTCTTCCTCAACCCCAAAACCATCTACTTGATGGGCAGCCCTAACAAAGGCACTTTGACCACCAAGAAAATTCCAGCCATCCACAATGATGACATCAAAGTCACTTTGTTGATGAGAAAAGTGACCCTGAATGCCAGTGTCTATGTCAGACTGCAGAAAGAAAGACAGATTGCCAAACAGATTGCCCGCTACCCTGTCGTGCGGAGCGAAATTCGCACGTTTTCCTTTGATGGGCGTACCACCCAGTGGGAACAAGACAATGTGTTTGTGGGACGATTTCCTGACCGAGTGATGGTGGGATTATTGCATTCGGATGCCTTCAATGGAGACCTAGAAAGATACCCTTTTGCCTTTCAAAAGTTTGGTGTCACCCAAGTACGACAGACCTTGAATGGAGAAGAATACCCTTACAGAACCCTGCAATTGACTGGAGACCAAGCCTATGAAGATCTACTGGGCTACGATCGATTTCTACAAGCCATGGGTGTTTACAGTGAAGATAAGATCCCCATGCTGCTGCCTGGTGATTGGGGACAAGGCAAGAACTGCACGTTGTTCATGTTCAACAATGTGCCCAGTGGCAAAGCCGATGACCCCCAGTACCGTAACCCCCGTCAATCGGGCAATACGCGACTGGTGATTGATTTTACTGCAGCTGTCGGTCATAACGTCACTATCTTGGTATGGAGCGAATATGAAAACATGTACGAGATCAATCATCTGGGAGGTATAAAGTACAACATCAACGGATGAGATGGCCTCAGAAGTCAGAAGACACTGGTCATGGAGTTTGTGGCGCTCAGCGATACGGTGTTGCGGACCCTGGCCTTGGAGGATCCCGAATTACGACGCGTGTTTCATGGGGTGCATCCAGCCGACCAACTCCCCCGATCCCCCGCCACGAGTGTCCGTCAAGCCTACATTGTCAACACCGATCCAGCGGGAGAACCGGGACAGCATTGGTTGGGTCTATGGACAGAAAAGAACCAGTGCGAGATCTTTGACAGTTATGGTCTACCCCTGCACGTGTACACCAACCCGGAGTTGCACCAATGGTGGGGTCAATGGAAGTACCTGACGCGCAGTGACCAGACCCTGCAAGCCCTGGATAGTCAAACCTGTGGCCATTATGCGTTATTTTTCTTGAAAGCCCGGGCGCAAGGACGGTCGTATCAAGAATTTTTAAGTCAATGGAGTTGCGACAATTTAGTGTTGAATGATCAAAAAGTGGCCGAGCAGTTGAAACGAGTGATCAAACGGGAATTACAAGATGAAGTCGATGCCCGACCCGACGGGGGGCAAAAGAATGTGAGCCGCCAGGCCTTTATCACTTGTAATCATTGTGAGTGTTGAATAAAACCCATAAAAACGAAGTGTGTGGTCCACGAGTGGTCATTGTAGTTCATCATGATTACGCGAGCCGATGTCCAGCGGGTGGTCGATGCGTTCATTCTGGAAGAAACCTTGTATTGGTGGGAACACCCCATCGAAAAGGTCAATACGGTGCGAGGCATCGATGCCTGGGATGGGTATCATTGGCTCATGGCCCGACAATTGGCGCAAGACCAAGATTGGGTCTCCCTCAAACAGTACATGGATAGCATGAGCGAAACGTATTTAAGAGAAACCATGGAAGGCCTGATTCAATCCGAATCGCCCCGCTTATACCGCGAGTATTGGACAGTATGCCCAGACGACGACGACGACGACAGCGCACCCGACGACCCCGCTTTCGCCAAAACGGACGAGGTATCATGAGCGTGTTGGCCAAAGCCTATAAAATCGGCGACCAATTGGGACGGGACAAACGGTATAAACGCATGGGCGCTAAAGGGGCCACCGGTCATTATCGACGTCACCCTCGACCGTGGGAATCATGATCCGACAACCTAGCAGTGTGATCATCGCCGGCCCGTCGGGCAGTGGCAAGACTGACTTGGTGGAACAATGGTTACGGTACCTGAACGTGTTTCAAGTCAAACCCCGCAAGATTGTGTATGCTTATGATCGCTGGCAACCCCGATTCGAGCGTATGCAAAAAAAGGATGGGATTCAATTTCATCGCGGATTACCGGACCCTCGTCATTTGACGCAATGGTTTGGTCGGACGCGCGGCGGGGTGTTGGTCTTGGACGACCTGATGGAAGAAGGGGGACAAGACAAGCGCGTGTTGGATTTGTTCACCAAAGATTCGCATCATCGCAACATTACGGTGCTGTATTTGACGCAAGATTTATTCCCGCCGGGCAAATTTTCCAAGACCATCAATCGCAACGCGCATTACATTGTGGCCTTCAAAAACCCCCGGGATCAAACAGGGATACGGACGATTTTATTGCAAGCCTTTCCGGATCGATGGCGTCAAGTCTTGCGCCTATTTAAACGCATCACGGCCCGCCCCTTTGGCTATTTGATGTTGGATGTACATCCGGCGTCGGATGATCGCTACCGCCTGTGGAGTCATTTAACGCCTCGAGAAGGCAAAGCGCAAGTCCACACCTTGCGTGCGGATGTCCCTGCCGTTCGACAACGAACTGCAACGAGAACTCGCCAGGGTCCGCCGGCAAAGAGAAGGCGGACAACATACTGAGTTAGCCGCTCGCATGGACACACACTCACCTGCGGGGGTGGGTTCCCCCTCGGTTCTCCGGGATCTCAGCAGCATGACGGACATGGTGACCGAATTGTCTCGACCCGTGGATCGAGCCCAATTGGAGCAAGACATTGATGATTTCAATTTGACCTACCCGGTCAATGTAGACGATGCCTTGAATGCCTTCACGCTCCCACCCGTGGCAGGCACCGGTACAGCACCACTTGCCACTTCTACTCCCATCACCACCATGGCACCACCACCACCACCACCACCCACCATCACCACCACCACGGCTGCCCCCACCCGTCCCACCACATCCACCCGAACTCGTCCCACCACGACTACTACCACCACCAGTCGACCACGACCCGTCACGTCCACTCGAACACGCCCCTCCACCAGCCGCCGCAGTGCCGGGGCAGGCACCAGGACTACCACCTCCACGGTGACCACCCCCACTGGACGTCCCACCATCGCTGCCAAACAACCGCGACGGCGCCCCCGGGTGCCCTCCCCACCCTCTCCTGGTTCGTCCCCTCCGTCTGATGATGAGGATGGCGATGATGATGATGATGAACGACGGCGAGGATTAAGGCGACGGTTGGATTTGCTCAATGAAGATGCTCAAGAACGGGCACGAGGTCGACGGATTCGCAACATCACGCACACCAATACGGTGACGACCGTGTATGAAGAGGGGGGTCGTCCCTCGGTGCGCCGCACGTCCACCCGAACCTCCAGCCCAAGTCCACCTAGACCACCACGCCGAGGACGGGGACGTGGCCGTGGCCGAGGACGGGGACGGGGCCGAGCCCGTGGACGAGGAGGCAGTTCTTCCTAAAAAAGGTATAAAAACCGTGACTTTTCTTCCATCGTCCCAAAAAATGCAATGGGTCCTCGACGTAAACGCCAACGCAGGACGACCCGACGGCGACCCGCCAAACGACGACGGCGTGTGAGTCAAGTAGGGGGTGTCGCGGCCAGTCTGCCCCTAGGGATTCTCAAAGCCGGTTATGGGATCACCAAAGCCATCGGGGATCATCAAACCAAGCGTGCCATCGCCATTGGCGAAAAACGTCGACGCGAAGTGGCTTCAGGCAAACGGAAAAAATATGCGGGGGAATCCTTTAATTGTTCGATTATGTGAAAAAACTATAAAAGACTAAAAGGTGTGTCCTCCATCGGACAGATCATCATGCACTGTGGTCCACGACGACGAAAACGACGCCGAAAACAACGAGGGGGTATTCTCCCACTTCTCATCCCCGCGGCTGTGGCTGCCGCTGTTCTCATGAAAAAGAAGAAAAAAAAGAAAGTGGGTAAGATCAGTGCAGCCAATCAACGACTGGCCCAACGACGGGTCCAGCGGATGTTGAGACGCGCAAAGGGATGGGATTTCTAAGCTCCATGCACGCTATAAAAGAAACGCTTGGTGGGACACCAGACTCTCATTAAGGATGGTCCGTGGACCCAACGGTCGCCGACATCGTTATGTCCCTCGAAAACGACGCCGACGACGTGGTTTGCAACGCGGTGCTAAACTCCCGCTTTTGGCAATGGCTCTCTCGCCTTTGTGGCTCAGGAAATACAAACCCAGAGTCCGAATTCGACGCCCAGACTAACCGACGACGCTCCAAACGCAAAGCCGTGACGTTTGCGTTGGATTGGGACGACCAGTATGAAGCCGCCTTGTGTGCACGGTGTCGGAATCACATGCAACGGCATTATCATGGCGAATTGTGTGGTCGGTGTGGTGCCATTTTTACCATAAATAGACCTTGGTCGTTGCCTGAACTCAAGATTCATCATGGGGTGGCGCATGGAACGACAAGCCCCGTTCTTAAAAAGTGTCTTACAAGAAGCCAATCAACACAAACGACAAGAATTGTTGCGGATGGCCAATGCGGATCAGATCAATGCGGTCAGTGAATTGGTGATGAACACCCTCCGTGGCACAGTCCCCCGTTCCCGACAGACCATTACGTTGCTCAAACCTCACGCTCAGAGTTTACGCGCTATGGCCAAACCCGCCCATTCCGTCAAACGACGACGCGCCATCATGATGGCTCAAAAAGGGGGTGCCCTCTGGCCGGAACTCTACCGATGTTATAAACGTTGCATGCGCTAGACCAGACTCCTCAGTTGCACCATGGAACCCGAGATGGTGAGCACCACGGTAAACAACGCCCCGGCTTTTTTACAATTACGAGACCAGTACAAACAAGAATTGGTGGAAGACACTCGCTTGACCAAAGCCGCCGATTTAGCCGCCAAACAACATGTGCTGTTGACCAGTGATGCCCCCGATGCTTGGAAACGGCCTCAACTCAAAGCCGTCAGCCGTCAATTACGCCATTGGACCAAAAAAGTGCGCCAACCGTTTGGAGCCCCAGCTGGGGGTGTGAGTGCCGCAGGGGCTACGACGCCGGGCGACGATGATTTTGAGGCGGGCCCCATGCAAGCCTGGTTCACGCAATTGGTCAAGGCCACCCAGGGTATAAAACAAGGCACTCCGACTGGTGGACCCAGAAAACCCCCTGTCCCGCCTAAACCAAGGTTCACCCCTAGTGCCAAAAAGAAACTCAAGTTTACGACCCCGTTGAGCAGTGAAGAATTGGCGGAAGAGTTGCCCTTTTCCGAGGCGCCTGGAACAGCCCCGTGGGAAACCCCTAAAGAACGTGCAGATACCATTACGCAATCATTCAAGCGCGGGATTCGCAAAAGAGCCGCGGACAGTGCTAAAAAGAAAGCTGCGGGGGTCGCCAAAAAGAAAGCCGCTGGTTGGGCCAAGAAAGCTTTGGATTGGAAATCGTGGAAAACCCCCTAAGATGGGACGGAAACGTCGTGCTCCACCCCGTTCCCGAGCGAGACGGCGACGACGCTCGCAACGAGGCGGCAAGTTATTTGATGTACAAAACCTCCTTAACAAGACCGGCATTGAATTTCATTGGCCCGGTTATCAGTACATGGGACCTGGTACCCATTTAAAGAAACGATTGGCCCGTGGGGATCCCGGCATTAACCGGTTGGACAGGATTGCTAAAGCCCATGACATTGACTATGATAAAGCCAAGACGTTGAAAGACAAATGGGCCGCGGATCGTAAGATGATTGCCAAGATTGATCAACTCCCTGGCAGCAAAAACCTAACAGAGCGTATTGTGAGACGCATTATGAAAGCCAAACTCCGATTTGGCATGTAAAACCCCTCTTTTTAGTCATAAAAAAGACAACATGTTAAATGACACCATGGTTTAATAAACTTCATGTTTGTTTTCTTACAAATACACTTGTATGTTCTGTAACGCCTCAGCGCGAAGGGTTTGTACCTTGTCCTCTTCTTCAGGGACGGACTGTGACAAGTCCAAAGGCAACCACGGGAGGGGAAAAGGACGCTCTAATTCTTCGTCCAACCAGGACCATTCTCGGCGCCGAATGGATTCCACCCGCTGCTGGTATCGTTGACTTTGCAGGGCTCTCCATCCCTCCTCACCCAAGATACGCTTTTTCTCCGCCGCTATCTCCCTCCGCCGTGTATTCAAACGCTGTTTGTAAGCCTCGTACGTCCTCTCTTTTTTCATTCTTTGTATCCAATTTTTTTGGCACTGGTTGTTTTTGCGTTTCACTTCAGCCCGTTGCTCCTCCGTCATGCCATGATAGCGCCGCATCCCTTCCTCGGTCTTTTTGGCCTTGAAGGCCTCATACTCTCCACTGGCTTTCATACGAGCCATCCGCTCGTGGTAGCGTCGACGGTGGAGAGCCTTCACGTCCTCGATGCCATTCACGGCCGCGTACAAGCGCTGCCGATACTGCTTTTGTTGTTGTTTATTTTTCATAGGGTCCCGTTTTTTTCTGGGGGGCTGGCGCGATCCTGGCGTATCCATGATCCAGCTCCAATACACGCGAAGCACACACGTCTGCCAAGGCCCGCAATTTTCTAAAAGGACTGGGTGTCTGTCTGTTCTGGGCACGACGGTCCCGCTGCTGCTGGATAAGCCGGTCGCGGTGTCGATGATAATATTGACGGTTCAAAGCCCGTACTTGGTCTCCGTGCGTGGCTCGGTACCGGTTACAGGCCAACCGGTTCAATTCTCGGGCTTTGGCCAGCTGTTCCTGGGTCGGGGGCGGTTTGGGCGGCTTGGGCGGTTTGAGCTTTTTCTTGGCCGCCCGCTGCTCTCGTTTCCGTTTCACAATCTCTTCCCGGTGTTTCAGGTACCACCGGTGTTTAGCCTCTTTCACTTTCTCTGGATCTCGATTAGGCATGTCTCGATGGCAACTGATGTCTGGTCTGGACGCTGGCCTATATCTAGAGGTCTCTCCGCCAATCAGCGATCTCGACCCCAGGCTCAGAGGAGACTTGAGAAAAATTTGTACCCATGGGGGGCACCCCCCTCAATCCTCCTCTTGTGCAATCAACCCCTCCCCATCCCCTTTACTTGACCCTCATCTGACTCTCACCTGACTCTCACCTGACTCTCACCTGAGCCCCATCCACCAATCCCCGTTCGTTTGATCACGTGTTTTTGGGTCTATAAAAGCCAGCGTCTGGCGCGGGACATTCAAATTGGTTTCCTCCGTCATGGCGGAGGAGGACAGCTGGTATGATGTCAGTGACGAGGAGGATGCTCTGTTAAACCGCGCCTATGACCGGTGGGAACAGTTGGGTGGAGCTATTGCCGCCCGAGGCCCTCTCTTTCAATTCACCATGCAACCTATTGGTCGACGACGCCGCTGGCGCAATGTGGTGGAACGGGCGCAATTCAACGCGCAATTGCGTCAATTGAGGGATGCTGGTCCAGGGGATAATATTGGCCTGGCATTGACGGAAGCCTTGCATCACGCTATTGAAACGGAACTCGACCGTGAGCAGCGACCTGCCCATCATTTTGTGAACTTTGCCATTACAGCGCATGGATTTACTCACGCCTACCAAACCGCCAATTTCACCGTGGGGGAATTTTTACAACGCACTGCTCGATTGGATGAGATGTTAGCTACCCTGGCGGGAAAATTAAACAGCAATGAAGCCTTCAACCCCGATCGCGGGTTCCAAGTGGATGTGGTGTTTGTCTCCATGCCCGGCCCGGGGTCTGGTCGACACAAACAACGCAATGTAGGCCGTTTATGCTTGGATCGAGTCAACCAGAAAAAGCGATGCATTGTCTCCATCAAAAACAGAGATGCCTTATGTTGTGCCCGCGCCATTGTCACCATGCGTGCCCATTGCCATAAAGATCAAGGCGTGGACGGGTTTCGCGACTGGGACAATCTCAAACGCGGTCGTCCTGTGCAGCAACGTCAAGCCCAGGCCCTCCATCAGCAAGCGGGAGTCGCTGAGGGTCCCTGTGGATTACCCGAGCTTCGTCAATTTCAACAAGCATTGGGATCTCACTACCAACTCTTGGTGATGACCCGGATGAAACCATTCTTTTTAATCTTCAAAGGGCCCACCGCTCCTCATCAGATTCGTTTACTCAAATCCAACGATCATTTTGATGGCTGTACGTCTTTTCCTGCCTTTGTCAATCGTTCGTATTATTGTGTGGACTGTGAACGAGGGTTTAACACCAACGATCGAACCAATCATACTTGTCAAGGGAAACGCTGCTCCGCGTGTGGACGTTTTGATTGTCCGGATTATGTGCGTGGCACCCGCCCCATCGAGTATTGCTGTCTGTGTTGCCGCAAGTTTTACGGCCATCAATGCAAACGTTATCATGAAATCAGCAAGCAATGTCAATCCATCAAAACCTGTCTCAAGTGTCAAGCCCAATACACAGTCGTCCGTAACCAACGTCACCGGTGCGGGTACGCCAAATGCCCAGCGTGTCAGGAATGGGTACCCATCCAGAACCATCAATGTTACATTCAGCCTGTAAAGGATGAGCATGAGGAGACTGAACCGACAGAGGAGGGGGGAGGTAGCATGGTGGCGCCACCCCCTCCCCTGTTTGTTTACGCAGATTTTGAAGCCATGCAGAATGCAGAAGGCGTGTTTGTGGCTAATTTGTTATGTTATTCGTCGAGTGTAGACACCACCATTCATGTCTTGGACGGGGAGGACTGTGCCTTACAATTTTTGCGTGATTTGGATGATCTCACGGACGTTCCAGACTGTGAGGAGGATCGAACGATACTCGTGGTGTTTCACAATCTAAAAGGGTTTGATGGCATGTTCATTCTCCATGAACTCTACCAGCAACAACGCGAGGTCGTGGATCAACTGACCGTGGGAGCCAAAGTCTTATCGTTTAGAAGTGGACCCCTCAAATTTATTGACTCGTTATGTTTCTTGCCTATGCCGCTGGCCTCCTTTTCCAGTACCTTCAATTTGACCGAATTAAAGAAGGGGTTCTTTCCCCATTTGTTCAATACCCCCGATCACCAACAATATGTGGGCCGCATCCCTGATTTGGAATTTTACGACCCCGACGGCATGATGGCTAAAAAGAAAGAGGAACTGACTCGTTGGCACGCCGATCAAGTCCGTCGGAACGTGCCCTTCCATTTCCAGCAAGAAATGATCGAGTATTGCAAATCGGATGTGGCTCTATTGAAAGCTGGGTGTGAAGCCTTTCAACAAGAATTTGAACAGCAGGCGGGCTTCAATCCCATGGCCAAGTGCATCACCATCGCCAGTGCCTGCAATCTGTATTGGCGCAAGCATCATTTGACCCCCGACACCATTGCAGTGGAACCTCTCGGAGGGTGGCGAGGGGCCCAAGTCAACCAATCCCTCAAGGCCCTGCAATGGCTCTATTACCAGGAACATCTCCTTCCCAAAGAGGGGGCCAGTGCTGATCGCATTCGTCACGTTCGCAATGGCGGCGAACAATCGGTCCGAACCAGCGTCGACAGTCATTTCGTCGATGGCTATGATCCTGTGACTCGCACCGTCTACGAGTTTCACGGATGTCTCTACCATGGCTGTCCCCGCTGTTATCCTGACAGGCAAGCCAAACATTATGCCACGCCGGATCGAACCGTGGAGGAACTCTATCAAGCCACGCTCTCCAAACGCACGGCCTTGCTCCGAGCAGGTTATACAGTCATTGAAATGTGGGAATGCGAATGGGACCGACTAGTGGACACCGATGAAGCTGTTCAACAATTCCTGAATTCCTTCGATTTGGTGGCACCCCTGGAACCCCGCGAAGCCTTCTTTGGAGGTCGAACCGGTGCCGTAGCTCTACATGCCGTAGCTGGAGAGGGGGAGGAAATACGCTATGTGGATGTGACCTCCCTGTACCCATGGGTCAACAAGAACTGTCCCTATCCTATCGGGCATCCGCGGATCATCACGCAACCCGCTGACCAGTCTCTAGACTCTTATTTTGGTCTAGCTACCGTCGATATTCTTCCCCCTGCTGGTTTGTTCCATCCTGTTCTGCCCGTGCGTAGCGGCCACAAGCTCACGTTTCCTCTCTGCCGTGCCTGTGTCCAGACCGAGCAGGCCCAACCCATGTTGACCCGAACCCGTTATTGTCCTCATTCTGACACGGATCGCACGCTACGTGGGACCTGGTGCACACCCGAATTGGTCAAAGCCGTCGAAAAGGGGTATACGCTGATCAAGATTCACGAAGTCTGGCATTTTCCTCCTGAGCAACGCCGAACGGGTCTTTTTGCCGATTATGTGAACACGTGGCTCAAGATCAAACAAGAATCCGCGGGATGGCCCGGCCGGTGTCAGACCCTCGAGGAGAAACGCGAGTACATTCTTCGCTATCAGGAACGGGAAGGCATCCGACTGGACATTGCCAGTATTGCCAAGAACCCCGGTCGCAAAGCCACGGCCAAGCTCATGCTGAACAGCTTCTGGGGCAAATTCGGGGAGCGGATCAACAAACCTACCACCGTGACTGTCCAAGACCCCGCCCATTTATTCGGTCTCATCTCGGATGCTTCCCTCGATCTCAGTACACTCCGCCTTTGCACCGATGATATCTTGGAAGCTGTCTACACCAGCGTCCAAGACAATGCTGTCAAAGGCACCAAGACCAATATTTTCGTAGCCGCTTTCACCACCTGTCATGCTCGACTCAAGCTCTACGAGTCCCTGGACACCCTTCAACAGCAAGTCCTCTATTACGATACAGATAGTGTCGTGTACAAGTGGCGTCCCGGTCAACCCTCTATCACCACTGGGGATTTTTTGGGGGACATGACCGACGAATTGGACGGCGACGTCATCACCGAGTTTGTTTCGGGGGGCGCCAAGAATTATGGGTACACGACACGACAGGGTAAAGTGGTGTGCAAGGTACGCGGTTTCACCTTGAACGTCCGTGGATCCGCCATTCTCAATTTTCAGACCATGAAAGACAACATTCTCTCCGAATTAGATTCGCCCCAGGACTCTCGCCGCAATTTGAACCTGACCAACCCTTATTATTTCCAACGAGATTTGGAACAAAAACAAATTCAAGTGGTTCCACGCGTGAAGCAGTATGGGTTGGTGTTCGACAAGCGTGTCATTGATGTCGCCACCCGATCCAGTTATCCCTATGGCTACCAGAGGATTGGGAACGAACTCGATTTGCTATTAGATTTGTAATGGGCGTGACGTCAGTAGGGCGTTACACACGTCCCACTTGTATCCAGGGCTTCACGCGGTCATTAAAACTATGTCAAGCATGTAGATTCAACTCTTGTGTGCGTGTGTTCTTTATTCCTAGAGGTCACGTGGGTTAAAACAATGGGTGTGACGTCACAAAAGTCACATGGTCCAAATGCGCGATTCTGATTGGTCGAGACCAATTTTGCTGCGCTCTGATTGGTCAGGACCTACTGTAGCCATCCATACTACTCACGGGTTGGCTCCAAACTATCTTAGTTCTAAATTTGAAAGGCGAGAAGTCGCATATAACCTAAGGGACTCTGAAAATAAACTCAATGTTCCATTACCGCGCACAAGCTATTACAAAGACAGCTTCAGCTATAGTGGCGCCATTCTCTGGAACAGTCTTCCTTGTAACTTAAGGGAAGCAGAGTCCCTTGGGCAATTTAAACGATTACTCAAAGAACTGTAAGGCACGGCATTCGTGGAAAGCAGCTTTTTTATTTAAATATTTTTATTATATTAGTATTAGGCATTTTTAAAGCTGACGAATTTTGTACCGGGGATAAATAAAGATTATCTATCTTATCTATCTATCTAATAACACAGCTGGAATTTCTTAGCGGGACACTGCACGTGAGTCAAGCATTGTTAAGTTATTAATCACGTAACACGAGCTTAAATAAAATGCAAACGTTTCCAGCTGTGCTCTTATGTTCGTACTCTGTTTTTGACAAGTTCGAAATAACGGGGTTGATTTTAAGGTGTAGGGAAAAAACGATGAGTTCGAAATAGCGGGGAATTCGAATTAACCGAGTTCGAAATAGCGGGGTTCGACTGTATATAACTTTTGCATCTTAATCTTATCGCGATATTGTGTGTATTTTAATCGGTATCTACATCATTTTTTAATACATTTTTATGACTTAAAATTACAAACCTTCTTTTGCTCCAATTCAATGCCAGCATCTAAAAGGTAATCCAAGGAATCCCCAAAAGCATGACGAGACTCAGTGTTGGACTTCAAAGGGTCTAGTAAACAACTTGTGAACTCGTCCACCGAATTCGCCAACTTGGTGAAGTCTTCTTCATCAGGTCCTTTCTTCCCTGCCAAGCGGCGGAGCTCAAAGGACGCCTGCGGAAGTTGATGGCAAAAAGGCGGGGAATGAGCTCGAGATCCTCACTATTACAATGTAATTTTCATTTATAGTTTTCACTGTTTTCATTTGTACTACAAAAAACTGCTAAAAAAACGTGGACATTAATAAAACAAATTGGTATTGTTTTCACTTTACCTTTTGGATTAAAAATTTATCAATTTGTTTGGTAGTGGTACTCAAATAGAAAAAAGGTTGTTCGATTTTTTTCGCAAACTGGACTCAATCGATCTCAGTCCAGGATTGAGCTTCATTATGTTTTATTGCCTCGATAGTCGAACTCACAGGGAAAATACTGCTTGAAATTGTTCGATAGCTTAACGTAATTGAACTCGATTGAATTGATTGCCGAGCATCAGGGACTGACTCTGCCGAGAGCCTAATGACTGACGGCATAACCTGAAACTGTACCTCTCGTTCAGTCCAGCTCACTAAACATTTCACTACCGCAGCTCCCAATAAGACGGTAGCACACCGAGGGCCAAAATGGTTCAAGTCTTCCTCTTTTAAAAAAATAATGAATCGCTGCTCACCTCCATTGCCATTAGTAACGCGTTAGTACTGCATTTTGAGAGAGCCCGCGGTGTCAGTGTGTCAGTGATATCATCAACATCGCCCTCCTGGAGAATCTTTCTTAGGGATCTTTCGAATTCTACAAGACAAATCAGGCCCGGTTCAGACGCCGTACTTTTCATGAGCCGAATCTAATACATTGAATTAAGTACATGAAAAGTTCGGCGTCTGAATGAATTAGGAACGCCCGTTTCAATTTGGAACGGCTCAGCCGTTCTTTTTGCCTAGCCCGGGCGGGAATTTCGCCTTTGGATCGCCTTTGATTCAGACGCCGAACTTTTCATGTACCGAACCAAATGCAGAAATTCTTATAACGTATTTTGTAAGCAGTTTGACCGAAATGCGCATTTTTCGCCTTCTGAATTTAGTTCGGCTGGAATTAAGATCGGCGTCTGAATCACTTTAGCCGGTATAAATAATTTGGGTCGGCCTTAATTCGAATTAGGTTCGGCTCATGAAAAGTTCGGCGTCTGAACCGGGCCTCAGTAAGTTGATTAAGAGGTAAGTGGAAATGGACTGAAATCGGTCGGTGTTTTCACTTTCCCTCAAAGTGGTACAGGAAAAGGTGGTCGTGAAGGCGAGACAATATTCCTACACTTTGTAGTGCAATCGGGCGACACGATCATTATATAAGACAAAGGTAAAGAAGTAGTACTGAGAGAATTATCAAGGTAAACACTTGAGAACAAGGCTGTCTTTGAAACGCCTTTTTATTGTTTACAGTTTCATAATTTAGCCAAATTTTTACCTAATAGAGATCGCACAACATAAGAGAAATTATCCTGTCTTTAAAAATATATAGCTCATAGAACTCGCTAAAAAATTCGCCTACAATCAATTCGATATCGCAATCGCAGAATTTCAAAACGGCCATGAATTAAAATAGACTCAGAGAAAACTAATGAATCTCTTGAATCAAATAAAGCATTGTTTGCCTGTTCTTTCCGAATGATCACCGTCTTTGTTTCTTTGGTGACGATCCTCCATTTGTATCCCTTTACCTTGCTCTGTCATTATTCATTTGCCATCCCTACGAAGAAAATTGATTAATTCATTTTCCTAAGCTAATTATAACTTGATTTGCTAACTCGGGCTTTTTGAGATCTTGTAGGATAAACTGCTTTAGCGAGCAAACTTTTAGCTAATAACTATTCTCAGATTTAGTTCAGATTAATTTTTTTTTATCTGACTCATGAAAGCCAAAGGGCCAAAACCTTGTTTCAAAAGTCAACCATAGCATAAGCAATACAGCGCACGGTTGTACGAAAACAAATAAAAGCTCCTTGGCCATGTATTTATGAACGGATTATCTATGCATACCCTTCAAAATATTAATAAATGGATTTAACCATGTGTTTCTATGATTGCCCTGTATGTGGGCGTGCATTCGTCCGAAAGGATACAAAAATTGACTAACAACTTGAAATAGTAGAAGTAATTGTGCTGAAATCTTTCCTTTCTGAAACAAGTTGTTTTCCATTACATATAACAGTCGGGACATGACGAAGTCCAAACAAACATATTGCATAAATGTGTATTGCCCGACATTTTGAATGCAGAAACAATGCATATAACGACAGTATAACTGGTGAAACAAGGTCTATTCTCTACTGAACTGGTACGGCTGCTTCGGTGGAACAAAACGTTTGATATTGTAGTCGTAAGCAGATTTTAGAGCTGAACGTTAACTCACCTAAACGACTATTTCCTCAGACTCTGGACACAATCCTTTCAGTTTACACCGGATTTTGAAGCCGCTTGAAACCTTAACCGAACCGTCCTCTAGCAAAAAGGGAATAAACTACAGCTGAAGTGTATCGCACTTGAGTAGAATATTTATTACGTCCGATTTCTTTTTGCCAATGATTGGGAGCCAAGGGAATAAATTGGCAGCAACAAGCAGGCGGCAAAGTTTCGTGCATCGCAATGTATTGTTATTTTGTCATTAATAAAAGAAATTTTCTCCTCTGGTAGATGAGAACCGCAGCTTATGAAAACTGAAGAAAATGCTTCATTAATGAATCTAACTTTCAATGACTTTCAATTATTGTTCTTGTCATCGCATTTGCCTATGAAAGGTGTCGAGTCGTTGTGGGCATCTGTTTTGTCTTTTACCTGAAAACCGTGTCCTAGCGGTTTGTAGAAGACTGATTAGGCCATTTATTTGCACGGTGACGTTCATGTAATCATAGTTATTAGAGGAGACTGGTTATGAAAAGCGGCAAACATCAATGATAAAAACAACAGTGCTGCAGTTTATGTTGGAAGCACCCTGAAAGTGCACAATCCTTTGTTTTCTGTTGGCAAATTGTTACGGAATATATTAATGCAACGTTTTTATTGGTCAATACAAACAAAATGATAGGAATTCTTTTCAACGTTGTGCACTTTCAGGTCCACAAAAACATTTAACAAAGGAGTCTGACGGGTTTCATAACCATTCCACCAAGAGCCATAATAGGACAGAGAGGGACACTCAGGGCGTTGGCCGGGATATCTTAATCCCAAAAAAGTTATTTTTAGAACTATGCGGACCATGCGAAAACAGTTTCCGGTAAACTGATTGACTTCCGGAAGACTCGCTTTCACGATTTCTGCTCGCCAAAGCGAGGCGGCGTCAACAAATAAGAAAATGGCGGCACAAGGGGAGGGACGATGTGGAGTTGATAAATTGGCCTTCTTCAACAAAAAACCTACCATAGAAACTGCTTTAAACTTCTACACAAAAGGGTCCTTTACAAGCAACGGTAGAAATCCGTTAAAGCGACCGCGTGACCATCGTTTTTGTTTGAACAGCTGGAATGAGGACAAGTAGCATTGCGGCCCGGATAAGTCTTGAAGACAAAATACGCGGGTCCTACAAAGACGACCGTACAAGCAACCATGTGGAGAGGAAGGAAAAGAACGTATACAGGTTTCCAGTATTTTTGTCACGGACATGACCGGGAATCTTGTGGAACACACCTTTTCCTGCTTGACTGATATTTTGTTCCGCACTTCATATATGGACAATTAGCAATTCTTTATTGAACACGAGGTTAATAGAAGCGGAGGTTAATGTTCCTATTAAAATCAGTGGCAATCGGTAAACAATAGGTTTAATCTTTACAGAATTTTCAAACATTGCAAATCAAATCGGAAACAATAGCATAATGGGTTATATGGAATCGCCAGAAGTTTAAATTGTACTTTCAATCCTAAGAAGGAAAGTAGAGCTTCGTTTTCATCTGTCGACTCGCCAACTTAGAGGAAAAAAGTTTTTTGTGCAGCTAATTTGTGCTGTTCTTTGTAAGTGCAGAAAATGGTGGCCCGGTTGCTTGAGGTAAGGAGCCGTTTCTCTGTAGTTTTCTCTGTCCTGTTGAATTGAAATGTCGAGCTTTCGTTAAGATTTGCTTTCATTTTTTTTCTCACAAGTCAGTTGAATTTGATTTCAGGGGAAAATTTGTCTTTAAAGGAAATGTTGAGTTCACACACCCCTTCTACTCGATTAAACTGTAATTGTCAACATTCCATCGAGCAAAAAATATTGAAACTTTGAAGTCTTTTCATACCTTCAAAAGAGTGGACCCTAGGATTTTGCCGAATTCTGAAAGGTTCTTACTCTAACAAATTGGCAAAACAACGAGCTTACGAGTTATTTACTCGCGAGGCTAAAACACTACAAAGATCACTGAGTTGTATCCTGAAACCGATTTTTGCTTGTAAAAACTTTATTTGTGTAAGGTTATTTGTGTTTTTCATGTTGCAAACGGTGTTGAAATAAATACGACAGTATGATAATCTCATCTGGCGTTTATTTACTTTATGTGGTTTTACCTAGCCTCATATTTTCCTCATACACCTGTAACAATTAACCTTTACAGATCCTGCACTACAATGTATAGGTACGATTTCCACACAACCCAAACATTTGTTATGTGTGTTAAATAATATAAGCTTGCTGCATGCATAATAAATGTAGGGGTTTGGATGCACAGGACCTTTTGATGTTGTGTTTGCCACTTATTGATCCAGCAAGTTTTGCCTACTTTAGTAAGCACTCATGGTGTTAGGTGTCGGCTGCTGAATGTAGTCTTTTCTTTTTTTCTCTATAGAAAGCACTTGAAAGTGTTAAGAATATAAACTAGTGCAATAAGTTCAAGCTGTGTATAGCTTCTTGTTTATAATTATGTCTTATTTCTTGTACCTCCCCTCCTCAGTGAAAGCCTAATTAACTCATTTTCTGCATTGAATGGTGTGCAGACCCCATATTAAACAGACACCCTGTATTCAGCCGTCGAATAACTCAAAATGTGGCAAAACGTTTCTTTCCAAAATGTAAGAAAAACAAATCTGTACTTAATGGATATCTCTAATAAACAGAAAGCAGCAAAGTTTTTTTGTTGATGCCTGCCCAATTCTAATTACACAGGTTTTTTTTTATTTATAACAACCTTTAATGCATAAAAATAGATGGTAAAAAGAAGGATGAGTGAGGGTGTAAAGAGAGAAGAACTGAGTCCTTATGCCAGGCTGGCTCCCTCCCTGAGGATATAATATAAAATACAACATGTAAAGGTTTCATAAAATTGGTACATCATTTATGTTGTGTGGTTGTGTGTCTCTTAGACTGTGAGCAGTCTCTCTTCAGCTTGAAAATCTGTAAGTGAGATTATTTGTGAGGGCGCAAATTCGAATACGCTGCTCAAATACTCTTGCTTACAGATTTTCAAGCAAAAGAGAGACTGCTCGCAGTCTATATGTCTTTCAGTGTCTGCAAACTTTTCTGTTGTTTTCTGACAGGTTGAATTGAAGGAACAATACTACTAGCAATCATGAATTCTCTTTTAAGATGTCTGCATGACCTTGCCACGGAATTGATAGTGGGGAAAATAATGTACTAGTCTGACAAACAGTGCAAGTTCTATATTTTGGGGAAAGGGAGCACTTATTTATTTATTATTTTTTATACTTTTGTTAAACTATGTGGCTGCCAATGCCTTTGGGATTTGAAATTTGAGGAATACTGGAAAGAGTGTGACCAACAGAGTGACACACATGTTATCATACACACTACATTAAAATTAATTTGTCTCCT